TATATTTTATTCAAAAATAAAATCATTATTGCTTTCTTAAAAACATATAAAATCGTATTATAACATTAACAGAGACAAATAATAAAATAGAACATTAAAATCGAGATGTGTTTCGCTACATTGTGCGAGTGCTATTCTAGTTATATTATAAAGTATTTAACATAAACCTTTAAAAACTATTTTTAATGTATCAAGTACTTGTTTAATGATGTATATTACTTCAAATTCAAGATTACGAGTAAATAATGCGTGAGTACACCTTTTTTTAGTTATATGTTTGAATTCATATAAACAACTGATAAATATAATTAAATACAAAATAAGCATCTCGTTTTAAATATAAAGTATCTAAAATATAATTAGGATAATCATTAAGTTCTTTATAATACTTAATTATTCTGTTCACAAAAAACATTATATTATATATTAAACCTAAAATAAATTACTTTGTTGATAAGACTATGATGCCGTTTACCAAACGCTTACTCGGGTAAGTGGTAAGTGAACACCAAGTCACATTATCTTACCGGATGAATATGGTAAGGATAAAAAATCTTACCCAATAAGAGCGAGACAAAGACCAAGAATCTTACCCGGTAAGTGAGGGCGACGACTCTTATCATGGTAAACGTTTAACTCTTACCATGGTAAACACTTAACGGGTAGATTATTGCATACGATACCATTTTGGTGGATTAAAATCTTACCCGGTAAGTAAATTATAATGTTAAACTTTACCGATAAGTACTTACCGGGTAAATGTTTGGTAAACGGCCCATAAATTAAGTTATAATAAAAAAAAATTGAACTAAAAAAACGAGAACTTTTAAATTGTTAAGTTGATACTAATACTATGTTATAAAATAAATAAAAAACAAATAATAAAACGAAACATTAAAATCAAATACCATATTGCACAAGTACGACTTTTAGTATATTTAATTCTTGGGGATAGGGGTGCTCAACGTACCGATCAACTTGACCAACCCGGCTAAACAAACCCAAAAAAACCCAACTTGAGCTAACGTGACACATAGTTGATACAAAATTAGACCAACCCGCATCTATTGGGTTAGGATTTTTTGAATCCAACCCAACCCGATGAACCCGATACACTTCTATACTAAAGTTTTAATATTATTTTTAAGTCACTGATTAACATATATACATTATACACTAGACCAATCCATAATTAGTTATATTCAAAATTATATTACAATATCAACCGTAATTTTATTTTCTTATTTATACGAACCTTCAACTTTCTTTTTTTGAGTTTGTTGGTCTTTCTTTTATGTTATCATTTTGATTTTACTTTGTTTAAATAAAAAACTTAGCTAGATGGTGAAATAATATAGCAAAGTTTCAATCCGACCAATCCAACCAACCCATCCGTGTGATTTGGGTTGGGTTGTAGTTTTTTTAGATTGGATTGAATTGAAAATTTTCAAACAGTAAATATTATGTTGGGTTGTTCAAATGACTTCAACTTTGTCAACCCGACCCATATGCTCTTTTCCCTTTAACTTTTAGAAGTAAATTACAGATTTAGTATATGAAGTTTTTCATTCGTTCCCGGTTTGGCTCTTTATTTTTCATTTATTACATAATAATTCTCCGTTTATGCAATTTATGTTGGATTCGGTTCCCTCCCTTAACGTCAGTCCGTTATATCCATTAATTTCAAGGGCAAAATGGTCATTTAATCGGTTTTCCTCGATTTTTCCCCTTTTCTTAAGTTTTCATCTTCAACACCTTATCCATGTATACCATCAAGAACAAACTTCTCCAATGCAAACAAAAATCATCATACAAGCATTAACATTAATCACAATTTCATTCAAGAAATATGAGATTTAGGGGTCGTTATCCAATTATTACCTGGTAAGCATTTAACGTTAAAATTCAACAGTTCAACTTAACTTACTCGGTAAGATTTTAATCTATTAAAACAACATCGTGTGCAACATTTTTATCTGATAAACTTTTACCGGGTAAGACTCTCGGTCTTTGTCATTGCTCTTACCGGAAATATTCTCAATATTTGTCATGTTCATCCAATAAAGTAAAGTGATCCGATAAGCACTTACCAAATAAGCATTTAGTAAACGACCACTAATCACAATTTTGTTTAAGAACATATGAACATTAATCACTGTTTCATGCCAAAAAAATGTGATACCAATTCTAAGTTAAAAACCTAAATAAATACATAACCCAACCTTGAATTCATAGATTCAACATTATAACCAAATCAAATCCAGATTTGATGAGCAAAAAGGAAAAGCAAACCCATAACTGATGTGCAAAAGTTGTTCAAATAGGGTTTTCTTGGAGTCGGAGGTGAATGTTTTTTGAACGTCACCTGGTTTAGAAGCGAGGGAGATGTAAATGCCTGGCCGAAACGGTGAAGTTTTATAGGGTCTTTCTGTCCAGGTACCCCCTTTCTGAGGAGGCACCCCTTCTCCCGAAGTTACAGTAAAAGGCTTCAACGACAATAAGATCTTATTAAGTGCGACAAACCACAGGGTAACAGGACCAGGATGGGGACGAGATTCGGGATGTGAGTTATGACGCCGGAGATGAAGAGGATTGTCGGCAATGAAGGTCGTTGTGGACAACAAAGATTGGTGTGATTCAGGATCCGCATCATGTTTGATGCATAAATGTGTATGAATGACAATTAATAAAACTAATTAGAGAATCAATAAAACAAAGAAAACCTGTAAATTAATCCTTTTCCCCTCGAAGTTAACCGAGATAACGACGTTTGGGGAAGGAAACAGATAAATTGCTTTAATAGAGGGTTATTATGTAATAAATGAAGCTAAAGAATCAAATCTATAACAAAAGACAAACCCAAAGGACCAAATCCACAATTTACTCCCGTAACTCCATCAAAGAATCTCAAACAGTCTCTACCCGAATCTTTTAATCGAATTCTTTTACATTATTGGTCGATTTTGTAAGAAACTCCGATCACTAGCTTCTATAAATAAAAAAGAAAGTCTTCACAATCGTTTGCATGACAAGTGTTTGATGAAATGCCAACGATGAATAATCTGTTGATAGTGTTTTTCTTGTTGATTTCCAATGGTTTTGTTTATAGAACTTGTGATGCTTCTTCATCTTACTCTCGTCTCATAAGCAGTGGCCTTGAACACCATCCCCGTGCTCCCATCGGTGAACAACCACTCGCCAAGATCGCCATTCACAAAGCTGTTATTGCTCTCCATAAATCGGCTTCCATTCGTGCTAACCCCTTTCTTATGGGGTTGCAGGTAAATAATATTTAAATTCTTACTTTTTATGTATAGATTTATTTGTATTTCTGTAAGTTTGGATGATAACTCAAGGTTAGGATCTAAGTCTGCTGCTCCTCAAGAACAAGCCCTAATCATTAAATGATTCTGAATAGAAATTTTAGGGATTTTAATCTACTTTTTTCTTCCTAACAGATTTTTTAACTTTCTATACAGCACGAAATTCAGATTCAGACAAGTCTTTAAAATTAAGTCGCTAATCAGTCAAAATTCTGTCGGCTTTAAGGCCATAACTGTTGCTTCCATTTTGAAGAAGTCAATATGGATGAAGACGTCTGTCCATAACAACTATTTTTTGTTCCTTTATAAAAAAAAAATATTAAACCACAAAGTTGCTACCTGATTGGTTTGAACTTGGTTCAAAGGTCAAAAGTACCAAGAAGTCAAGGTTCAAATCCAAGCAGGAATAAAAATTCCGTTGTGGTCTAAAAAGTTCAAATGCAGTGATTCCGGACTATCTGCAAAGAAGGTGGCCGTCTTAGGATTAATCGGCTCGCATAGTGGTTGGATATCCATGTTAATAAAAAAATATATCATTTATTACTAATGATTTTTTAAACCAAAAATTGATGTTCCTTTTAAAAAGGGAACCCAATTCTTCAAAAGAACAATTCTGCACGTTTTAGCATCAATAAAAAATAGTTGAAAAAATCAGAAAGGGTTTGACTACAGCCTTCACTCATAACCAAATCCCTTGATTTTGCTAATTCTATTTCTTTTAATATGTGAAACCATTAGATATATAACGAGTTTTTGAGTAAAGAAGGGGTTTTTAATGGTCAAAGATCCGTTTACCAAACGGTTACCGGAACTTTATTGGATGAACATGGTAATGATCAAGAATCATATATGGTAACATTGATGGCAAGAAACGAGAGTCATACTTGGTATGAAGACAATAACTCTTATCCGGTAAACTTTTACAATTTTACCAGGTAAGTGTTGATTTTTACCGATAAATGCTTAAGGTAAGTGTTTGGATAAACAGGCCCTAAGAGTTTCTTACCGAATAAGAGGTTAGTAAAGGGTCTTAAAGCTAACCAATGTGAGACTAAGGTGAAGTTTGTTTGTTAAGAGGTGTTGAATTATGAAGTTTTATTTTGCTTTTGATTAATAAGAGATGGTGCTGAAGTCTGAAATCTGAATCAATAAGACACTAATCTTTTAAGCTAATCTATACGTACATAAATTAGATATATATAGGGAGGGAGGGAGAGAGAGAGAGAAGGTGGGGAGTGCATTTCACATGGGTGATGAAAGGACGGTGGCGTCCCCGGTGAAGAAATAAAGAGAATCAAAGAAAAGGGGAAACAAGAAGAATTAAGATATTAGTTTATCGTTTATTTATTCAGACCCTATTAAGTGATAAGAGACTCTGAAAATAATAAATAAAACAAACAGTCTGAATTACAAAACGTCATAAGTGGTAATTAAGAGCTGAAAATAAAAAAACAAACAAGACTTAACAATTATTATTATTTTTAAAATATTTGAAGAATATACAAAAAACTTGAGTGAAGAGTTTCACCACTGTATTTAGCAATACTACCTAGAGATATGCTTTAAAAAAGGGGCTAAGCCCAGTTAAGCCCGAAAAATCCCTGCCTCAAAAAACCCGATCGAGCCTTTTTTTTTTTCAGCCTCAAAGCGCAGCCCATCCTGGCTGGGGTCTTTTTGTTGCTCTCTGAAAACGGATTTGGATCCCTGGACCGAAAAACCCTGAACCTTGTGCATCTTTAAATTACTACGTGCCGATTATTACCGACGAATGCATGCAGATATATTGCATGCATTGAATACTTTGTAATGGTATAACACTTTAAACAGTTGGACCCATTAAAATTTTGTAAATAGTAAACGAAATATGTGCTTTAGAGTATGTTTGTTTTTGTTGGTTAAAACGTGTCTGGATAAAGATCCTTGTATAGATAACTAACTACGGCTCGTTTACCAAGCATTTACCAAACGGTAAAATTCAACACAATCACTTACTTATCGGGTAAGCGCTAACCATGTTAAGACTGGTCACCCTCACTTATAGGATAAGACTCTCGTCCTTGTCTTCGCTCTTACCGGGTAAGATTCTTAGTCTTTGCCATATTCATCCGCCAAGGTAATATGACTTGGTAAATGTTTACTCGGGTAAGCGTTTGGTAAGCAACCCCATATATGTCTTTCTAGTAACTGATTTATGTTGAAATATAACCGGATTTCTTCTACAATCGTGTGAATCACTTTCCAAATTCGATATTTCGACCGTATATGCCTGGTATCACGAAATCCGAATTGGGATAATTGTAAAAGCAACAATCTTGATTTTGGCAGAAATCAAGATCAAAACTAGAGAAAAATATAGAGTGTCTTCAAAGTTCGTATGTCTCCCAAAACTGATTATCCGAAATTCAAACTCCCAAAACTGTGAAAACGGGAGTTACCAACTTAGACTAATACAAGCGTGCACTCCACACTCTCCATACTTGTTTTAGAACAAAGTTCAATCCCTTTGAAACACACGTATAAAATTCATTACACTAAATGTAACCGGTGACACTAAAATCACCAACAATTTATCGACTACTCATTTAGTTTACGGATGATAACATTTTCGTAATTTATCAACTACTCATTTAACATCATTTTTGGTTGTTAATTTAGACGTCAACCCAATAATTGTAAAGTTCACTTGGTATCATTTGGCCAAAGATCTCTTGCCCCGACTTAATTGGTATATGTAACTGTTGATATGATAACAGGGTCAGGATACTGAATGGATCAATGTGAACTTTGAGTACCCTGAACCATCTAATGATGACTGGGTTGGAGTCTTTTCACCAGCAAAGTTCAAGTAAGTACCTTAAAATGCTTGCATCTTTACAAGTCAAGGGTCTTCAGGGAAACCATATCGGTCCTGCATACATCATACCCTCCTTAGACTCTACACCATGTGGGATGCACTGGGTTTGTTTGGTTTGATTTGGTTCGGTTTTGGCTTAGAATGCTTGCATATCGTATATGTATATTTGTCTCTGAACAACTGAGTGAATGTGGCAGTGCTTCAGATTGTGAATCAGAATCTGGTAACTGGCCAGAGGTTCCATACTTATGTACAGCCCCAATAAAGGTATGATACTATACTTGGAATGTTGAAGGCAATTTTAGTGTTGGATTGTTGTGCTAATCAATCTTGTTCTTGACATGTGTTTGGTTACAGTACATGTTTGCAAACCACTCCACTGCCAATTATGTTCAAACAGGAAAAGCTTCGCTGAGGTTCCAGATCATTAATCAGCGTTCAGACTTCGCATTTGCATTGTTTACAGGCGGATTGGAAAATGTATGTAAAGTCACTCTTTCTACTGCATTTGTTATTTGCTTAAACTAACATGGTTCTGATTTTGTTGATTCTTGCATCCCATGGGACTAACTTTGTGTTTGGAATTACAGCCAAAGTTGGTGGCTGTTTCAGATCCTATATCGTTTGCAAATCCTAAGGCCCCTCTGTATCCTCGTCTTGCGCATGGGAAGGCTTGGAATGAGGTAGATTTCTTCAATCAGTTGCCTGTTGTTTTTGCTTTGTGAAACCCCTTTTAATCTCTCTAAAAGAGACCTTATGGAGAGAGGTGAAGTTCTTACATATTTACAGGTTTGCTGTCTAGTCGATGTAGGACTCCACTGTTGGGTGATTTTAGTGTCATCAAGCCATTTAGTATGTTCGGATTAATGTGAGACAAGCCGAAATTAGACTTGGCTATAATTCAAGCCATTTGATATTCTGTTTCCAAAATCTAACATCCACCATGCCTTTCTAGAACGGAGGCATGTCAAGTCCCTAGATGTGGTATACTTGCATTTAATCTTGTGGTTCAGTCTTTAAAGAGAACAACTAGTGATACTTGAGTTCGTTAACTTCTAATAGATTGCTTCATGTTCTGTTTTTATTCTTTCTATAATGTGTTATGCTTCTGCAGATGACTGTAACCTGGACCAGTGGCTACAACATTGATGAAGCCACACCACTTGTTGAATGGGGTTGGAAGGGACAAACCAAGCAGCTTTCTCCAGCAGGAACATTGACCTTTACTCGTGGCAGCATGTGCGGTAAGTTGTCATCTCTTGATCTACAAAGTAGTCGACACCTGCCATTTTTTATAAACCTCCGGAAAATACAAACATCTGTACATATTGTGATGGCCCTACAGGTCCACCTGCACGCACAGTTGGATGGCGTGATCCTGGTTTCATCCACACTAGTTTCTTAAAGGAATTGTGGCCAAACACCATGTATGTGTGACAAGACTTTTACACGGTTAATGTTGAGAAATATCAACCTTATTTTCTCTCTTTTGTGATCTTGTTTTTTACTGGGATCTATTGTGACAATACTTTTCCAGATACGAGTACAGAATGGGGCATTGGCTGTTGAATGGATCGACCGTTTGGAGTAAAACCTATTCATTCAAATCATCGCCATATCCAGGACAGGACTCACTGCAACGTGTTATCATATTTGGAGATATGGGAAAGGTTTGATTACATCTTGCCCCCAGACTCTACCTTGGCGTGTGATTTATTGGTTGGTTGAAAATCATTTCTCGCAATTATGCTCTCATGTCTTTTAGGCGGAACGTGATGGCTCAAATGAGTATGCCAATTATCAGCCAGGATCCCTCATCACTACAGACCAGTTAGTGAGTGACCTTGACAACTATGATATAGTATTCCATATAGGAGATTTGCCATATGCAAATGGATTTCTTTCACAATGGGATCAGTTCACAGCACAAGTCCAAGCCATTTCTTCCACAAAGCCATATATGATTGCAAGGTATGTATTTCTACGTATTTATGTCTCGTTCTAAACAAATAACTTGTTCACAACTTACTTTTCATCCTGCAGTGGCAACCATGAACGTGATTTCCCTAATTCTGGATCATTCTATGACACTCCTGATTCAGGTGGGGAGTGTGGTGTGCCCGCTGAGACCATGTACTATGTTCCTGCAGACAACAGAGCTAAGTTCTGGTAAATTATTGATTTCTTCTTAACCATTTACTTGTTTTAATATCGTGACGAGTTTTCTTCTTGAGCCAGCTGCTAGCGTACCATGCATATGGATTATTATCAAATGGGCATTGTTCAAATAAGAACCGTAAATATTTTGAGAACCTGGAAACCAACTATTCATGATGAATGTTTCATGATGGATATTTATTATGGAAATTATTCATAATGAATTATTGTTTACAGGTACTCAACAGATTATGGCATGTTTCACTTCTGCATAGCAGATTCAGAGCATGACTGGAGAGAAGATTCAGAACAGTATGCATGGATAGAGAAATGCCTTGCATCAGCTGACAGACAAAAACAGCCATGGCTGATCTTTGCTGCTCATCGTGTTCTTGGATATTCTTCTAATAGTTGGTTAGCCAACGAGGGCGCCTTTGAAGAGCCCATGGGACGAGCACACTTGCAGAAGCTATGGCAGAAATACAAGGTGGACATCGCATTCTACGGCCATGTCCATAATTATGAGAGGACTTGTCCTATATACCAGGTACTACCCTTTCTTTATCTTTACAAATCAAGATTATTTAGACAAGTTGGGGTCTTTATGGAAACAGTCGGTCATATTGACTTATTGTTTCATCTTTTTGTGCTGGTGTAGAACCAATGTGTCAACCCGGAAATATCTCACTACTCTGGTACTGTAAACGGGACAATTCATGTTGTCGTGGGTGGCGGAGGTAGCCATTTGTCAGATTTCACCGAGATCAATACATTTTGGAGTCTGTATAAAGACCAAGATTGGGGATTTGTGAAACTAACGGCATTTAACCACTCTTCGCTTCTTTTCGAGTACAAGAAAAGCAGCGATGGGCTTGTGTACGATAACTTCACCATCTCAAGGGACTACAAAGATGTGTTGGCATGTGTACATGATGGTTGTGCACCTACCACATTGGCAACTTAGTAAATGGTGTGTTAGAACTTTCAGCAACGATCACATAAATTCTACGATCTAGTAGTTATCCCACATATGTTTTCACTTTGTGTGTGTATTCGATGCTTGTTGCTGAAAATTTGTAGAATAAATCTGTCAGCTGACGGTACGTTTCGTGTTAACAATGTATATGCTTACGTGCTATTTGACTCTAGTGCGAATACGAGTTTCGTGTCTTCCTACTTGTCGTCATCATTTAAATGCTTGGTAAAGACCGTAGATGGAGGTCAGATTAGTATGTGAGGTTATTGATGGTTGCACGATCTGAATGGATGAAAAGATTCGAGGATTGTTTGTTTTCCTCTTAATAGTTCTATCAAGAGGCAACCTTTGAATCGTTAAGAGGTGAATCTTGTTTGGCAAAAAAAATTTGTCTTTTAATGGTTCTAAAACTCTCTTGAATTATTTTGTATCTTGAATCTCCTTTAATCATTAAGACCCCTAATTTCATTGTACACAATCACCAACAGAACTTCTCCCAGGCTTGCTGTTGTTTATCTAACTACAGAGCATCAGAAAGGCAACACTACTAACCTCGTGCAATTATATTTTATTTTGCATTATATCATGAGGCCTCTTAATCATTCTGTACCAAACAATTCAGCAATTGCCAAATAGTCGTTGAATCTACACATCTCACGTTAATCATACTTAACTTCCAATACTTTGCTTGCATATTTCAACACCCAACCTATAACACCTTGGAATTTCTTTCCCTTCCTCATTTTCCATTCCTTTCACGTCGGGATTTCTCTTGTCCCAATTTCAAGGTATGCGTTTTTACTTATATTTATATGTATTTATATATGTGTGTATTGTATAGTAGGAATTTAGAAACCTTTTATTTTAATTAATCCTTAAAAAAGGGGGGGATTCTTTTATATTTGCTTAGTTGTAATGTATGGGAAAAGGGGTAAAAGTAGGAAGAGAGGGAGAAAAAGGGGGGGAGGGGTATCACCTCGTATACCTTGACCCAAACCTGTAGACACTCTCTCTTGGAAGGATTTACCTTTTGTTTTTGAATCCTAGCCTGCTGTCCTTACATTGGGAGGATGATTGAAGGATTGCTTTGGGGCAAGGGAGTCCACATTTTCTTTTGGGGGTTTGAACATTTTTTTTTTTTTGGAAGAGAAAGGTTCCAGGTGAGGGGCTGCCGATTGAGAGTGAAGGGAGGAAGGGTAGTCTCACCTCCAAGTTAACTAAACCCCCCCTTCTTAGAAACATCTTCAACTACCGACGTCGGCCACCCGTAGCTCCGGCCACGATCTGCACGCAGCTGTTGTCTCGTGCGAGCTGCACGCAGCTGCTGTCCCGTGCGAGCTGCGCGCAGCTGCTGCTTCCGTCCCTGCACGCGACTGGCTCCGAGCCTCCAGCCGGGTCTGCTTCAGTATTCTGCACGCTGCTGTGCCCGTGTGATCTACACACAGGGACTGTGCCCGTGCCTCCTGCATGCTGCTGTCTACGTGCGCCTCTACTGCTGCTGTTTTCGGGTGATCTACACACAGGGACTGTGCCCGTGCCTTCTGCACGCTGCTGTTTTCGGGTGTTCTGCACACAGGGGCTGTTTCCACGCCTCTGCACGTGGCTGTTCCCGCGCCTCTGCAGCTGTTTGTTTCTGTGTGATCTGCAGAGGAGCTGTTCCCGTGCCCCCTGCACGCGTCTGCTTCCGTGTCTCCAGCTGCGCCTGCACCGCACTGTCGTGCCACGCCATGCAGCCTGTGCCATCCCCTTTCCCTTCAAGCAGTCCCAGCTGTTGCCTCTAGGAACGACCCTACTTTTTAGTCCTACTTTCATTCATCTTCTAGTTCAAGAATTGTACTTCTCCTAAATCCTACATTGTGAGTTCACTCCCTACCGTTGAGACTTTATATTTGAATCGATGATATGTTTAATGTGCCAAATACTCTAGCGTCTAAAATTTAATTATAGGGAATGAACCTAGGAAGCCCGTTGTCAATAGTAGCATGGCTTGTTAATGGCTTAAATTCACTAGGAGAATTTTACAATTCTAGTGTTATCCGCCTAAAACCTTAGAGGCTTTTATAAATCGTTATATGGAGTTACTCCCTAGTTGTAAGGAAGTGTCGCGTTACCTTAGAAATTATTTGAGAATCTATTTAGCAACTACGCATTCTTTTCTTAGAAATAGGCTGTTGCCTTCGGAGTATAATGTGGTATGGGTTCAAAAGTTGATATTTTTACTTTGTGAAGAGGTTGGCGTGATTTGGATTTAGGCATTGTGATCATTATGTAACTTCCAAATCCACCTTCACATTTCCACTCGGAAATAGGCATTGAGATCATTATGTAATTTTCGAGGTAAAGAGCTTAAGATCACGACCGACTACATGACTGGCTAGGTTGATGTCAATGGTGTCGAACCTGTAAGTGATGCTTTGTAACGTTGATCTATGACTTACTTTGTGTTCCGTCACAAATCAACGGTAAATCGGGTATCCCCCGTCATCTTCGGATGTGTTGACTCTCCCACGTATTATTTAAGACTTACTTTACCTTTTGTTACTGTTTAAAGTTTCGTTATCTATATATGCGTTCTTTCTTGCATAAAGGGTCTTATAATTACACTTATTGTATTGTTTGGACTCACTAGGTGTAAGCATAATACTTTCTTGAAATGGCTTGCTTACCAGGTTTCTTTAGCGGCGGGGTATCGAAGGGTTAAGAAGTGTGTTGTTCGTAAAAGTCATTTTTGTAGTCAAAGCACTTGGTGATTCGAGCGTTGCTTATTGGTTGAATTTCGTTTTGTTGGAGATGGTAGAAACAACCGTTCTTAATCTAGACATGAAACTGCTTAGATTATTAGGTTGTTAGTTATCGTCTCATTTTCGTTTTGTAAGCGCTTAACCCCTCCCCTTTGTTGGGTGATTTACTCTTTTAAACTTTGAGAATTTTTGTTTGTTTGATTTTCTGGCTAAGATTATCACTACCCTCGTTGTAATATATATATATATATATATATATATATATATATAGATGCTTAATCAAATGAGAACTAATTAGTTTGTGGTAACCGTGAGATTCAATCTCAACCACAAATCAATAGATAAATTAGGAAATTTATAATTTTGGTAATTTTTAATTAAAATTTTAATGGAAGGGTATTTTAGGTATTTTCTCTTCTCTCTCCTATCTCCTCTCTTCTCTCTCCGTCCCCCGGCCTCCGACCACCGTCCTCCGGTGATACCACAGTGGTATCACAGTGCATCATATATGTGATTGGGTATCACACTGTGGTCGTTTGTACGGTCGATCGGATATGTAACACAGTGGTATCACAATGCATCTTATATGTGCTTGAGTATCACACTGTGGTATCACCAGAGGATGGTGGCCGGAGGCCGGAGGACGGAGAGAGAAGAGAGGAGAGATGAGAGAAAATACTTAAAATGTCCTTGCATTAAAATTTTAATTAAAAATTACTAAAATTATAAATTTTCTAATTTATCTATTGATTTGTGGCTGAGATTGGATCTCACGGTTACCACAAACTAACCAGTTCTCCCTTGAATGAGCCCATACATATATATATATATATATATATATATATGGGTTGATATCCCCACCCCCCTACATCACTTTTCACCCCCTCCTCCTCACACCAACCCTCACTCTCACCCTCACATACTCACCCCCTACACAATCTCACCCGCCTCACATGCACCCATAGGAAGGGGTGGGGTTAGAAAAACCCATATATATATATAGTATATTTCTTTTACAACCTTGTGCATTTGTACAACCTTTGCAACCCAATTAATTGAGATATTTATAGAAATRATTGGAGTTCATTTATTATGATTTGAATATTTATGGAATATGAATAAAGTTTATTAATTATGATTAATACTTTATATTAAGATAAATTAATTGATTAAAAATTGAATGGTTGAGATGAAGGTTGTATAGGGTGTAAGAATGGCAAAGGGTGTAGAATAACATTCCTATATATATATATATATATTAAGGTGTTACACAACCCAAAAGATATGTATATTTTCTCTCGATTTACTTTGTTTTTTCTAAACTTGGGATTTTATAATGCAAAATTCATTTTGTTAATTAAAATATTCTTTTAAATAAATTTATTTAATATGTAGTTTAATTTAAGAAATTTAATTTGTGATTGGATAGATAAAATATTTTTAATAAATAAATTTATAAAAAAAAAAAAGATGTGGATCACAATTAATTTCAGAGTGAATTATATGTTTGGTGCCTGTAGTTTGGCCAAATACTATTTTGTCCCTCATAATGGGTTACTGATGATATTAACTTCATGGACTCTGCTTGTTATAAAATAAAGGTTTAAGGATCATCAGTGTATATAATTCATTTTAGGAATCAAATCCATATTTTAAGCAAACCAAATGAACCACTCTTATTAGCTTCTTATGTCTAATTCGTTAAGAGGTAAACTAGCCTCTTATTTGTCGCTTATTGTTCTTCAAACCCTCAACAACGACGTTTCTCAATCGATTAACTTTAATCGATCATCTCTCTCGATCAATCCTCATGTATCTCAATTGATGTATTTTAATAAGATTTAAATGTGTTAAATATGTTAATGACATATTCTCGTTGAAATGAATATTAATTATATAATTTATATGTAAATTTTGTAATGATGATGAATAAATATGTGAAATTATATATTTTATTTATAAAATCAACATTATAATTTTTTTAACGGGTAAAACAGATAATCTAAACAAATTCAAACGTTTATCAACTTAAACAAACAATCTTATTGTTCAGATTTCATATGTCAGCATCATTTCTTATAAATCAGAAGTGAAACAAGACTTCAGCTTTCAGCACCTCTTAAAAAAACAAACACCGTCTAAGTATTTTATACTGCCGATAAGGAAACGATAAAGTTAAATGAATATCCTAAAATAGCAATTTCGCTTCTTTTCGAGTACAAGAACAGTAGCGATGGACTCGTGTATGACAGCTTCACCATCTCAAGGGACTACAGAGATGTGTTGGCATGTGTACACGATGGTTGTCCACCTACCACTTTGGCAACTTAGTAAATGACGCGTTAAATTTTTCAGCAACAATCACATAAATCCTACGTAAAACAGTTTTCCACGCAAGACATATTTTTCACTTACGTGTATTGAATGATTGCTGCTGAAAATTTGTATCTGTCATCGATGGCTCTGCACTTGTAATTCATAGTTCTAAGAGAATAAAGTTTGTAGTGTTATCGGTTTGCTAGAAATTGTTTTCTTTAAGCGTAATTCACATTTATCGTTACTAATATTTTCAAGAATACATGCTTGAGATACGCCCATCTTAGAGTCGCTCGGAAAAACCGCTTTAGGGTCAATTTCACACGAAAAAGACACATATGAAACTTATAATGAACGTTGATAGATACACTTAACTTCTTATATCTAAAAAATGAAAAGGGATTTGATACTCGACATATGAATGAAATCAAGTTACATGTTACATCCGATATTCTTGTGTGGATGCTTAAATATGTCCAAACATAAAACATGTAAGCGTTCTGTAAAACATTCCAAAAACGAAAAGTCTGGGTAACACGCATTTGCATAAACTCCGACGAAAATGAAAATTTGATTGAAAAAATGGCTAAAAAGTAAAGTTGGTTGGGGAGATCAGCTATTTTGGTTCATTTCCTCATTTCCTCGTCACATCCATCAATATCAAACTTTTTTTTATATTTTCATTACAGGATTTAGGTGCCGTTTATGTAACGTTTATCCGGATAAGCGCTTACTAAGTCATATTACCTTCGAATGAATATGATAAGAACCAATAATCTTTCCTAGCAAGAACAAGAAAAATATCAAAAGTCATACCCGGTAAATAGGGATTTTATTTTAATGGAATTAAATTCTTTTGCTCGAAAAATGACAACTACTTCCTGAAAAGACTCTCTTTCCGCAACCAATTGGCTGATTATTAGAGCTCAAAGTGTGTGGGTGAAGCTTAAAGCAAACAGTTGACCTATTCCTACTAGAAACCGGTGGATTACTCGCAAACGGTATCAATTTGTGGACTTTTTGAAGATCAAAACAAAGTCAAAACAGAATATCTCTTGGGCATCTTTTACCAAAGCATGTTATCATCAAAGAAATTAAGAATAGATACATGCCTGCATCTTGTTTGTGAAATTGCCACAATGAAGATTATCTTGCATATGTTACTATTCTTTCTTGTTTTAGTCAAAAGTGATGGCCAAATCACGGAACAGCCCTTATCCAAGATTGCAATTCACAGTGCCGTGCCTGCTTTCCATGATGGGGCCTCCATTAAAGCTTACCCGACTCTTCTTGGCTTGAAGGTAAGAGTTTCACTATAAATCATCATCATCTTTAGTTTTATTCTTGTTTCTGCTACTGTACTATGTTAACCATGTGTGCGTGAAAGGTGGAACTATTCAATTTGGCTCATTATAAATCTAGATTCATCAATATATGCGAATAACTATGCAAATCAGTTCCACGTTTGATACATTGACCTGAAGTGCAGCATGGTTTTGAATCGAAATCAACACCATTTTTTGGTAACCTTGGGTATCCAGGCCAACTTGCACTCAGGTTGATTAATCCCATGGGCCTGGAGAACAGCCATTAAGGATCAATGATTATATTGGTCATTGACAATGGTGACTTCTCAAATATTGGTACTTTAAAATTTGACTATTCTGGCTTGCTCAAATGGCTAGAGGTTGCTTTGGGTAACCTAAAACCCCTGAATTTTGATCTTAGTATCAGGGCTGCGCAATTTGGTGTTGGCTGGTGGCATAAGCCTTCAGACGCCAATTTTAGACTCCCCTCCTCCTGGGGGTGAGGTTTTCAAGAAGCGGCTTCTGATGACTATTGAGGTAAAACCAAACCAAACAAACCCAATATATATATATATATATATATATATATATATATATATCCCACCCAAAGGTAGGGTCTGGGGTTAAGATGTATGCGGGAGGCTGTTTCTGGTGACTATTGAAGTAATTATGACTAGTTTTTTCGCTTGGTGCAGGGTGAGGATGCTGAATGGGTGACTGTGGAGCTTCAGCACTCCAAACCATCCGATGATGATTGGATAGGAGTATTTTCCCCTGCTAAGTTTAAGTAAGTTTGCGTTCATCAGTAAAATCTGTGTAACATTCTAACTGTATAACTTATTACTGAATAATATGTTTGAATAATGCAGTGCATCAACTTGCTACTTCGAAAACGATTCTAAGGAACAGGCACCATACATATGCTCTGCTCCAATAAAGGTGAGTACAAGCTTCGGTTCTATCATTGAATAATTCTGAAATATGTTAGCTTTATCTGACTGTTATTGTTTCACAGTACTCGTTTGCAAATTACTCGAATTCAGGATATGCAAAAACAGGCAAAACTACGTTAAAGTTCCTGATAATCAATCAGCGAGCTGATTTCTCCTTTGCCTTGTTTTCAGGTGGATTATCAGATGTATGTATCCATAATGCAATTTGATCTAAAGTTAATTTTGATCATGTGTTACTCCTTCCATTTCAGCATCATTCTTAAAAAACTTGTTATGTTATCTTATTTGCAGCCAAAATTGGTGGCATATTCTAACTTCATATCATTTGCGAATCCAAAAGCACCCCTTTATCCACGTCTCGCTCTAGGAAAGTCTTGGGATGAAGTAAGTATACTTGGTAGATTATGTTTTTTACCTTATTATATTGTCTGCTTGCACATTATTGACTATCTGTTATATTTCTTGACTACCTGTTATCTTACCTATCTTATTTCTTGCTTGCACGCACCTTGTGTCGTGCACAAGCCGGGCCACGAAAACAGTCTCTGAGTTGAGGCAAGGTCTGTTGCATCCTACCCCTCCCAGCCCCTACTTTTGAGTAGGATATACTGGGCTCGCTTGGTTTGGTTATACTATAAAACAGTCGGTGTCAACTTGAAGATTTAGATAGGCATTCAAGAAGTCTCCTCTTTTCCGTTTATTTACTCTTGTTCTTCATGTAGATGACCGTGACCTGGACAAGTGGCTACAACATAAATGAAGCAACTCCTTTTGTCATGTGGGGAGTGAAGGGTGAACGTCCAATGCACTCTCCTGCAGGAACACTAACGTTCCATCGAAATAGCATGTGTGGTATGTTCATCTAAATCATCATGGCTTTCCTACATATAATTCTTTAGTTACCATTTATGTGCTCCAAAGCCAATGAACCATTTCTCGCTTCGAAAATTTTCTCGCCTTCCATTTAAGTAGTTCCCTAGCATTTAATATGATCAATGCATAGAAAGTCCAACATTGAACCACAAGGGTTGTGGTGTAGTGGTTGAGGCCCTGGGGATGTGGTGGAATATCCATCTGCTCAGGGTTCCATTCCAAGCATGCACAACAATAGTGGTCGCTGAGTTTATCAGGGCTAATTTCTTGCACTCACAATTTGCCGGGATTTGTTTGACCATAGCCTGGGAAACCCTTCCAAAAAAAAAAAGTCCGACACTGACAAGTTCTGTAAACAAATAAACCTAGTATATCCCACTCGAAAGTAGGGTCAGGCGAAGCTATTTCTGGTGTCTGATCTAGCAGCCAGAAGTCGTAAGTAAAGAAGGGTTGTCTTGATTCTTCTCATTCTACGGACATTAGGTCTTTAAACATGTATCGAGATTTTGAAAACTTCTAGGTTTCCTGCAGGCTCACCAGCAAGAACAGTTGGCTGGCGCAATCCTGGTTTCATACATACAAGTTTCTTAAGGAATTTGTGGCCGAATACCAAGTAAGTATCTTGTTTAGAAATTGTTGATGTTTTAGGATTCTTTTCTGGTTCATCGGCATACCCTTCAATCAACTCAATTTATATTTGTGCTTACTGAATTCAGGTATACCTACAAGATGGCACATAGATTATCTAATGGTACCTACATTTGGAGTAAGAAGATGTATTCATTTGTGTCGCCCCCTTTCCCAGGACAGGAGTCATTACAACGTGTTGTTATATTCGGTGACATGGGAAAGGTAAAAAGTTAAGCTACGGCATTCATAATCTGAGCATAAACCCTGCTATAGTTTTTTACACAACAACGTTGGGTTGATGGCATAGATTCCTGGTTTGTGGATAACAAGAAATTAGACAATTCACGATGAATTGATATGAACATTAATCTAAAATGGTCATCAGATTAAGTCTCACTACAACAAAATCATCTTTATAGGATGCTAAATATGTCTAAATGTCTTAATAGACTGTGTTATAGGACTTAAGTTTATAGGACCAAACAACTATGCCTCCCATGTAAAGGTGTTGCAATAAGTTGATATGACGCTTTTGAGCATCCAAACAAGTTTTTAGGACACTTTCGAAATAAAGTCTCCTATTAGCTTTTTTTATAAAACACTTTTATGACGTGTCGTATGAGCCCATCTTTTTACAGGACACTTGTTTTTGTAAGACACTTTCTCAATAATGTCATAAAAACAATCAGGACGCTCTATTTCTTAATTGTCCTAAAAACCTGTTAGCATACCCAAAAGCATTCTATCAACTTATTGCAACACCTTTACATAGAACACACAATTGTATGGTCTTGTAAACATAAATCCTATAAAGTTGTCTATTAAGACATTTAAACATATTTGGCATCCTCTAAATCCGATTTTTTTGTAGTGTCTTCAGAACTGTTGTGGATCTATTCTTCAAAGACACCATTTGAGTTCTAAATAATAGCTGGTGATAACAAAATAGACTCTTCTATTATGTGAAAGTTAAATGAAATCCTATTTATTTGCTTATTTCAGGCGGAACGTGATGGCTCCAACGAGTACAATAACTATCAACCTGGTTCTCTTAATACCACCGACCAGCTCATCAACGACATTGATAACATAGATGCTGTGTTCCACATAGGAGATTTGGTGTATTCAAATGGGTACATTTCACAATGGGACCAATTCACATCACAAGTGGAACCCATTGCATCGGTTGTGCCTTATATGGTTGCAAGGTTTGTTCCATGAAATCATGTTAACGGTCTGTTTAAATCAAATTACGGTTTTATTTCTGTTATGTGTTGATATGTGTCTAAAATATTCGTGTAGTGGTAATCATGAACGTGACGCGCCTGGAAGCGGATCTTTTTATGATGGTAACGATTCAGGTGGGGAATGTGGTGTCCCAGCCGAGACCACGTTCTATGTCCCTGCGGAGAACAGAGCTAAGTTCTGGTAATAACCAAGAAACCCGAAAGTATTATATTTATTAGGATATGTGGAACCCCTCTTATATTTATTAGGATATGTGGAACCCCTCTGAATTCTTTTCAAAAGAACCGTTAGGGGGCGCTTGGTTTAACGGAACGTTTTTGAGCGATTTGGAATTCATGTAAGGATTTGGGATTGGAATTTTTGAGTTTTTGGTGTGTTTTCATTCTCTATAAATAATTTTCATAAAAAAAATTATAAAAATAATTAAATTATCTTTTTATTAATTGATAATAAAAAAACAAGTGTTTTTAACATATTTTAAAATATTATTACAAACAAATCCTATGGAATCCCTGGAAATACCTACCATCATGGGATTTCTAAATCCAATATTTTGTAATGAAATCCCAAAACTGGAATGGAATCCAATTCCAAATCCCGCAAACCAAAGGAGTCCCCATCTAATGTCACGTCAAACCTGGAACAAGAAGTTTTTGTTCTGTCATATCAAGTCCTGTCCTGTAAACCAGACGCACCCTTATAAAGGGACGAAGGTTCTTACATATATACATATACAGGTTAAATAATATGTGTCTAACTGATGCGGGACTCTAACAATATTCTTTTTGCACACTGAAGATTGTTTTCTATTAACGAAATTGAAATGAAGATATGTTTTTGTTGTAGGTATTCAACGGATTATGGCATGTTTCATTTCTGCATAGCGGACACTGAGCATGACTGGAGGGAAGGCACCGAACAGTACAAGTTCATCGAGCAATGTTTTGCATCAGTAGACAGGAAGAAACAACCGTGGCTCATCTTTGCTGGTCACCGTGTACTTGGTTACTCTTCCGACAAATATTATGCAGCTGAGGGCTCGTTTGATGAGCCCATGGGACGAGCTCATTTGCAGAAGCTTTGGCAAAAATATAAGGTGGACATTGCATTTTACGGTCATGTCCATAACTATGAACGATCTTGCCCAATTTATGAGGTACAACAGATCCTCCTTTTTCGGGTTCACCGTTGTTTAGCTGTTTCGTACTTCCCCTTTTGCTTTTAATGTTTCTACTTGTTTTTAATATTATTTCCCGTTACAAGCAGAGGTTTTTATGGTACATCCTACCCCTCAGGATGGACCCACATGGATAGATACGGTGGCACGGGCTACGGCTTTATAGTTCCATCTTTACTGGGAAAAAATTACGTTTTTGAAGGATGTTACCATATAGTTTGTGAAACTGAAATATTAACACAGACTTTAATGGCTAAGATGGTAAATGCTCATGCTTTTGTATAAAAAGGCCTAGCTTCGACTCCCATTGTTGGCAAATATATTGTTTTTTAGTTTAGATTTTGGTATTTTTTTTATATACATTTTGTTTTTTAAATATATGTAGACAGACTCAAACGACAAGAAACCAACTAACAGATCTATATTAATATTGTGAAAAAAAAACCTTAAATATTCTTTTATAGTCGAATTGTGGCACCGTTTGAAATTTTTTTGGCTTCGCCTCTACTACTCCAAAACTCTACCTGGGTGGGATTTACTGGGTTCGTTGTTTTTTTGTTACGTTGTTTCTAATATTGTTTCTTTTTGGTGATGCTGTAGAATCACTGTGTGAACCCGGAGAAGTCTCATTATTCTGGCACCGTGAACGGCACAATCCACGTTGTCGTGGGTGGAGCGGGTGCCCATCTATCGGAATTCGCTCAGATTAATACTACTTGGAGTGTTTATAAGGATTATGATCATGGGTTTGTGAAAATGACTGCATTTAATCACTCGTCGCTCCTATTCGAGTACAAGAAGAGCAAGGACGGGAAAGTGTACGATTCGTTCACCATCTCGAGAGACTACAGAGATGTGTTGGCTTGTGTACATGATGGTTGTGAGCCTACAACTTTGGCGTCTTAGATGTTTAGTTAAACATTGATTCCTCTGTGCATCCGATTGAAGCAAACATTTTCTATTGTCTTAGGGACCGAAGCCAAAATAATAAGAAAATGTTTCGCTCCCTAACACGGGAATATTTACGAAAACGATCTTTCTACCCCTAGAGATAGATGAACGATTGTATATAATATCTTACCCAACCCAGATCAAACTTTACGTGGGATTCAGTAGAGGGTTGGGTTACTGTGAAAATGAAAGTTACAGTGAAAAGGGTAAGAAGGGATCTCCATCCTTGAACCAATCCTAATTGAAGATGACCACTAGATCAACGCTAAGGAGATACACCGGACCAATTTTCTTCTACAACACAGTTCATGGGTTGTTTTGGGATTAAAAGTGATCAATGGTCTAAATCTCTTTTTACACTTCTCACTTTAACTCTTATTCTCATACGATCTTCTGCATTCGGTGGATTGGTTTAGTTTACCTTTGTGTACCTTTGATGGTTGAAATTCTAAAAAACGGTGGACAACACCCTCTAAGGCATCCATTACACTGGTCTTACGGTCATCATTGGGAGGTAAATTGGTACATGCATCCAATTGGTAGAGGAGTGGTGCCTAGGCTCAAACCAGGGCCCTTACTCATATGAATTACACCCACACCTCTACCATTGAGACATTTGAACAAGGACTTGGATCCCCATCCCAGGGGTAGTTGGGGTCTTTTTATCTGGACAAGTGTCTTCGAATCCATTCGATTTCTAAAAAAGATTACTACTGTTCTTGATTGATAGATCTTATGTACATCTAAACCTAGGAGCTTTGCTAATTTGAGTCCCAAATTTTATTGGAACAATGGCTCTACCCTTTTTTGGAAGAGGTTAAGTCTACGTACATCTTATCCTCCACAACATTTTTTTTAAATGAGACATACTGGGTTCATTTCGTTTAGCTATAGATCCTGTAAATCCATGTATTTTTTATGGGTAATTGTTCATCAAAAAATTTGGTTACAAGAACCTAATAACCTAGTTTAACAAGTGTTCATGACTAATAATTAAAAACCAAAGATGCTCTTCATGATTAAAACCCTTTAAGGATTCAGCTCAAAGGGTCACCAGTTCGAGTCCTGCAAGGCCACTAGGGATTTTCCAGACTGTTCTTCAGGGGGTCGGGATTAATCGAGGTACACGCAAACTGGCCCGAACACCCCCGGTTAAAAAAAATAGAATTATGAACTAAAATCAATGTCATTATTCATTAATATCTTCCTATGCTTTATGTAAATTTGGATCAAATTTAACTAAAAATAAGAATATTCATGATATGGACCAGGATAAACATTCCATTTACTCGAAACATAAGCCTATAGTTGAAGATTTTACTAATAAAATTATCAAGTGGCCTTGTTTAGCTTCATCTACACATTTGTTCCAACGTATTACAAGATAACACACTAGATTTCAGATCGAAATAACCACAATAGAGCGAGGAGTACCCGTTAGACATCGAGCCAAATTGGGATCTGGATCCCAACATTCTTGTGAACATGAACCATATGCAGCCACCAAATGTTCAAACCGCTTCATCAGGGGTCAAAAGTTGCGGAAAGGACATACTTGTCAACAAGCCATGGACGAGAAAGATTGAAGCTAGTTGATTATGAGATGATTGATGGCAAAACAAAGTATAAATAAACATTGAAATATCTTAGATATTGTCGGGATCAGATCAACCAACCATTTCCATCTCGTTGGTATTGTTCTCTTTTTCAGTTATCATACTCATGGATGCAAACAGATGCTCTATCCGAAGAGGAGAATGTCGAACCATATATTGGAATACGATCTGAGGATGGAGAAAAAAATGTTAATGATAGGAATCCAGGAAATGTTCAAATGATGGTGCACTCAGATTTTCTAACATGGGTATGCACTACAAAATGTATATAACATATATGCACCACAATAACAATTTTTTTAGGTATGCACATATATGCTAGTTCCACCACTTTATATGTTCTATTTTGTTTCATAATGACCAACAACGCTTGATTTCATAGCTCATTACTTCGGAGTCAAGCCAATCAGTCTTGAATTACCAATTCTTCAAAAAAAAAGTGAAGTTTAACTGCTAGAATGAAAGATTTGGGGTCTCCAGCCTTCAGATTAGTACTTACCTTGGAGTAACTATCAGCAAAAGCACGAGCTCGATGTACCTTTCCTAGACACTGTAGATCAGCCTTCTCCAGCTTCCCATCCACAAATGTTAATCCACCCTCATTAACAGCAAAGCGGACAAGGTTCCCTGGATGCAGTCCTGTCTGAAAACTCAGAGAACCCAAGTTAATATGTGGCAAGGATCTAATTTGCTCAATAGCATTTCTATGAAATATGAACATCTGTATCATTTTGTAAAAACATTTGATAAAATTTCCTTCCAAGGAAATTTATCATCAATTGTTTGCTCAAGTATGTATTTTCCTGTAATGATTGGTAGTGAATTAGTGAGTAAATTTAGTTTGTTGTTATCTAGATGTGCGTAAAGCAATCAAGTGGTTAGCTTGAAAGGTATTTGAACAGATTCCTAGGTGGCAACACCTAAGAGGTTGTGGCTTCAATCCCCAGTTTGCATATTTTTAATTAACAAAATAAAAACGATATGCCAAGAACTCCTAAATGCCAAAAGAAAAAAAACTTGGATGACTTCTTGAACATCAACTTTCTTAACTCTCACAATCACTGACCAAATCTTACCTATACAGAAATACCTATGACCTACACAGCATACAAGGCACAAAAGACTTGTACAGACCATGTAAGTTACTCCATCTCCAATGTTTAAGCATTTGATAAGAAATAAGCTCAATAGGAGATATTGGAGACCATGTAGCAGACTAGGGGTTGGAATCCAGATGGAAGGAAGGGAGCTGGAGAGGTAGAGGGTAGGGAATACGGTTAAGGTTACCAGAACGCCAAAGTAGACTAGGGGTGTTTAGTTTCCGCACCTTGGTTATGTTTTGCTTGTACTTGCTTCTATGTATATCGTTGCTGCTTACTCATTCTAGTTTCTCAAAATTTAGCATTTCATTCTCTCTTTCTTATCATATTGTTATTGCTTCCTCACATCTATCTTTACATATCGTTTCACACACTTTTCACTAGCCAAAGGTCTTCAAGAAACAGCGCTCTACCCTTTATGGTAGAGGTTAGGTTTGGGTACATCTTAAAGGGTAGAGGTTAGCTTTGGGTACATCTTAAAGGGGAAAGGTTAGCTTTGGGTACATCTTACCCCCCCCCCCCCAAAAAAAAAAAAAAGACCCCACCTCTGGGTGGGATATACTAGGCTTGTTTGGTTTTATAACAGACAGGTCTGAAACTCTGAATGGTGCGTAATGGTTTTTGTAGTCATGTTACAACACATGCTAGATGAATCACTTAAAAGAATAATGTAACTCCACAAGTGAAATATTTATAAGAAATAATTACACAAACCTCTTGTATAAAAACTGCATTCAAGCATCCAAGCACGACGGCAGGATCATCAGATGTAACCAGTTGCCCATTATCTTGTAGCTCCAAAACCACCTTTTCATTTATAAACAGAAAAATAAGCCTTGGAAAATTCTAATATCTTGCAGATACTCAGAAACATATATATGAATGGTCGCATGATCATGCATAGGTGATCTTGACAGAATCAATCAAGGGACTGGGATAATGTTTACTGTGACTTCGAAAGATGTCTGTTGAACTGCAAATGTATGTCTAAGGAAGCAGTCATCCTTAACCATATATCAAAAGGATACTCTCTGGACCCATAAAAGTTGCAAGGGTTCCTAATATGGGATGTGCCATATTAATTGTAAAAAGTTGCTATCCCTGGGAAATTGTTGAAACAAAAATATATCAATGTCGTCACAGATCTTTTATTTTTGGTTCAAGAACCACCCTCTTTTGTCATCGTCAAAAGTGTGGTTTATACATTTGACTAACAGTCAAATACTTTTACGAAACTATGCATCCAATCAAGCATAAAACTTTTATGGGACCCATAGAGTAAGAGAAAAGAATTTGATGCAAGAAAGACACCATGATGAGTATACAATCCTTTTTCTTTCTTTTTTGATTTGGAAATTACCATGAGTACTTGAATTAGTTGAATAGACAATACCCTCAATAGACATCCCAAAGGGAATCAATAGAGATTTACCAAATATAATAATAAATGTATAGCGGGATCCAAATAACGTGGTTTATGCTCGACAGGAACAATTGTGTGATAAATTGGTAAGTTCATTCAATGATCTATATTAGTTCCCAAAGTTGCATTAAATATTGAAATATGACAAAACCCCTACGAAAGTTCCATGACAAAACTGCAAGTTCATGGGTCTCTGTCAAAAAAAGATGACAGAATTGAATACGTTTAATAAAATAACCCACAAGCATGCAAGAATAAATGTCATAGTACCTGCTGTTGGTTTGGAACCTGTCCTTTGTTATCAGTATCAATGACATACTGACTACATGTCTCGTCCTTCCAGACAAGTGTCAATGGTGTATTTCCTGTTTGATAATGTGCATGCCTAAAACAAAGAAAAACGCATCCAAATATTAATAATATGATTGAAACCAGATAGCCACAAAAAAAATCTTCTATATGCTTCCTGAATACACACACATACAAGATCAGAAATATTTAGGGCTTTAACAAAGAACATAAATACGCTAAAGAACAAATACATGCATTAAGAAGCTTACTTGTTATAGAACAGTAGCCCATCCTTCACATAAGGTACCGCTCCTGTATAAGCTGTCTGGAGCCCCTCATGATCACAATTATAAACTGGAATGAGGCTAAATCTATATCTATGGTGAGCAGAGGGAGCCTCGCAAGCTCCTGACTCAACAAGCTTGCTGTTCATCCAGAAAAATCTGAACTCTGCAGTGCATTCATAAAACGAGATTCCTGCCCAGCATACCATGTCTATTACATAGTAGGTTTGGTCCAACTGTGATCAGAAGAAAGACAAAAAATCATCAAAGACTAACAATAAAACAGTTGGAACAAAAATCACAAATTCTACTTCATATGTTAACTGCATAATACCTCGTGAAAAATGCAATCAAGTATACAATATGACTGGGCAGATCGAGAACTTTCTTTGGTCCTGGCACCATTAGGTAAAGCAGATGGAAAACGGTGCAAGAGGCAGCCATTGCGTAGTCTGCTGACAGTTGCTCCATTTGATGAAACAACAAAGCAGCGTTTTCCAGAAGGCCTTGCAAATACGTACCTGCAGGGTTTCATTCATTATGAGGGAGAGCAAGTGCTGCTTTCACCCATATGAAAATCCACATTTTGTAATTGCCTAGCAGCCTAGATGCGGGATGCCATACAAGTTTAACTCTTGCAGATAAACTAAAACATTTTCAAATGACAAGTACTATGAACAGTGCCACTTATGAGGCCTTGTATAAACAACCACGAGGTTGGTTAAAGATCCTGGGTTCCGACCAACTCCCACCTCAAAAGAAAAAGAAAATATATTGGAACAATAAATATGGTGTTGTAGTGATGCCCAAAATGCATTAACAAATTGTTTTTTTTTTTTTTGGAAAAGGTTAACAAATTGTTAGTAAGAGTAGTTGAAGCACATTGGCCATAATTCTCGCACCGAATTGATGGCTCTCTACCATTTTTCGCAACCAAGGAAGAAGGTGCACTCATCAGAGTAATAATTTTACGAATCTCCTTTAGCCCTAATTGGATTAAAATTATGTAATTCATCTATAATCGATAAGTTCAGCAACTTGTTATTGAAACTATGCAGGTTAAAATACACCAAACTAGGCCTGTATAATTTACTAATTCTTTCGCAAAGATGACTGAAAAATAATGAGAAACTGCAAACATACCAGTCGCAATTGAGGCGATCAGGGACATCAATCATCCACTCCGGAAGCATAAGCTGACTGGCGAACCACCGACGAGCTTCGGGCCCTTTAAGCTTAGCCGCTTGACGGATGTCGATGTCGCTAATATCTTCGGCATCAGTTTCGGGTTCTTCAACTATAGGTTCGGGGAGAAGGTCGAGTGATTCCAAAGGTTGAGGTTCAGAGTTATGATTTGGGAGGGAGAGGATGGACGAAGCAAGACGGCGGGCTTGCAGCTGAGCTTCAGTCCGGTTCTGAGCCTGCCTTTGTAAAGATAGTTCACGGCGTTTTTGTTGATCGGAGATGGCGGCACGTTTGAACGGACGGCGTATGTCATGAGGCGCCATTGACACCGATTCACACAGATTGAGCGGCCTTTTCAAACCCCATGATTACTGATACCCCAAGGGTTGCTACAAAATTTAATTTTAAGAATTTTAAGAATAAAACCGGATCATTAATTTAAAATCTTTTCTTCGTTTTGTTAACCATGAAAAATGAATTAACTATACAAACTATTTAAATCAATTACAAGTCTTTGTTAGATTAGGTTCGTCTATCACCATACAATTAATATTAAAGATACAATGATAATTTTCCCTTTTTCATCTTAACTTCAAATTTATTAATGGACGGTTATAAAAACAACAATACAATGATTATAGCTAAAATAATATGTTTATTTTTTTCCAAATTATAGATGACTTGTTATTTTAATATGATAAAAAACTTGGATGTTATGTTTTCAACATATATGTAGTCGTCAATGTTCATATGGTGAATATATTGTTCATATGTGTTCCAATATGTTCATAAAACAAATTCCATATACATCTAACATTTGGTGAACATGTGTTCACAAGTGAAACAATTTGATCATATATTATTGTGTTCACATGTGAAAGTCATTACTTTAGTGTTCATAAATTTTAATAGGTGCAAATGAGTGTTACCGTATGTTCATGTGTGAAAGCCACAAACTAAGATTAGTTAATAAGTTACATGTATGTTCATGTGTATTCATAAGTGTTCATAATACAACACGGATAATTCTACGAACTATAAAATGAATGAGCAATTACCAGTTTATAACCGATGTAATTAATCAATTATCGATTTTTAACCGATTTAGACATATCCCCAAAAAATATCCATGCTCACCTGTGTGTTAATATCCTTCATTCTTAATTAATTACAAATATGTCACAATTGATCTTATCCATAAATTTTAGAATCAAGGACCAATATTGGTTTACAAAGTTAACATCAATTACTGTTGTTATATATCTATACTATGTTATAAAGCATTTGACAAAAACTCTTAAAAAATATTTTTTATGCATAAACTACTGTTTATTAATGCATGTTACTTAAAACTCAAGATTACAAGTAGATTGTAAGGAAGTACAACTTATTAAAGCTTCTTATCTGAATTCGTGTAACTAACTGCATATAAACATAATCAAACATATGATCATTTTAAATATAAAAAATCTAAAATATAATTAGGATAATCATTAAGTTTTAACATAATATTTAGTATTATCTTTATAAAATATTATATTATTAAACCAAAAATAAATTATTTATTTATTAAACTTAAATTAAATTATAATAAAAAATAAATCAAAGAAATTACATAGAAAATAAAACTTTTAAATAGTTGATTTAATACTAACATTGATATTTTTTTTTTCAAATTTATATTTTATTCCAAAGTAAAATCATTATTGGTTTATTAAAAACACATAAAATCGTATTATAACATCGACAAAGACAAATAATAAAACCGAACATTAAAATCGATATATATATATATATATAGGGTTGGGTTCACGTCAGACCAGCATGTTTTCGTGAGACCCATTAGACCACATTTTTATACTTGAAATTTCACAGCAAAAACACTGTGAAGGTTACATTCACAATAAAAACACTATGAAGGTTACCTTCACAGCATTTTGCTGTGAATGTTCAAGTGTAAAAAGATGGTCTCACGGTTCTCACGAAAACAGGTTGGTCTCACGTGATCCCAAATATATAAATATATATATATATATATAGGGTTGGGTTCACGTGAGACCAAGGGTTTTTCGTGAGACCCGTAAGACCAATTTATGTTCATGGATTAACTTTATAAGCTAATGGTCTAACGTTGCATGGTGGCAATTTTGTAATTATTGAGAAGTCTCGTGGCAATTTTGTGATTTATGAATATTGAGATTGTAGACCTAATCCAAGGGTTGATAATTGGTCTTACGGGTCTCACAAAAAAGCTTTGGTCTCATATGATCCCAAGTCTCTTTCTCTATATATATTCATCGTCTTGTAGGGGATTAAGCTATTAATATTCATGGTCTTGTAGGGGATCAAGCTATTAATATTTAACTAATGCAATTGTATATTGTGTATATAAAATCATGTAATTTATACTATCGCCATTTGTATAGTGTGATGATGAGTTGGGTTGAGCAGTGTCTAACCAAATATTAACTGACAGTTTGATAAGATGAGTTTAATCTGGTTATTTGCGTGTTGGATTAGACGGTTTGACAGTGTGGTCGGGTTTTTGGACAAATAGACGACCCTAGATACGCCAACTCAGACAACGCTATTGTCATCTTCGTTTTTGTACAAATTGTCTGAAGTTACAGTTTGATGAGATGAGTTTAGTCCGGTTATTTGCGTGTTGGGTTAGACGGTTTGACAGTGTGGTCAGGTTTTTGGACAAACGGACGACCCTAGATACGTCAACTCAGACAACTCTATTGTCATCTTTGTTTTTGTTCAAATTGTCTGAAGTCCTCCCTTGACTATTGTTAGATCGTGTAAATTATTGCAGCCACGACTAATCGTTTGATAAGGTTAAGAAAATTCGTTTTATTACAAAAAAATTTACTTTTTGTTTGTTAAAAACTACGAGTAAACACTTTTTTTATTATATACATATAGAGAGAGACAAGCAGAGTTTCAAACGAGAACACCTTCATTTTAAGAGAACATGATTCTTATATTTAATTCATCTAAGTTTGAATTGTTCATGATCTTATATTTGATTGCTTGTATAAGTAAAAATTTGTAGGTACATATTCAATTGGTTGGCAATGTAGCGATACATTTCGATTTTGAAGCTAAGGAGTTGTTTGTTTACCTCTTAATAGTTCCATTAAGAGGCAATATTTGAATCATTAAGAGGTGAATCTTGTTTGACAAAAAAAAAAATCTGTCTTTTAATGGTTCTAAACCCCTCTGACTGATTTTGTATCATGGGTTTCTCTTAACCATTAAGAGCCTTAATTTCATTATTAACAATTACCAAACAATTATATTTCATTTTGCACTATACCATAAGAGCCTCTTAATCATTCTGACCACTTAATGATTCTGTACAAAACCATTCAGCTACCGCCAAACAGCCCCTAAGAACTCACAACCTCAATCCTATTATATGTTCCTCTACACTTATCATATGGGTTTTTTTAGAGTGCATATAGTCTTCGGTTGATTTTCAATTTTATGGAGTATTATGTTGTATGACTAGTAATTACTGTTTATCTTATATTTGTACATGTTTATCAATTAATTTTATATAGTTAAAATGTGAAGTTTTAAAAAGCTGTATATAAATAATAAGTTCTAAGGGTTTAACTTCACTTTTGTTCATGGACAAAAAAGTAAACCAAGAATGAAATGATTTTTCGTCAATGAAATAATTACTCGACTTTTTGGTTTACTTTTTTATGTATTAAATGCGTAATTGTGTCGGATACCATTATGTGCATTAAATGCATAGGGACACATGTCACTTGGGGATAAGATGTTCAACGTTGACTTCATAACTTTAGAGAGTCCTTTTCATCGTACAATTAGAGAGACTTGTCGCTGAAACAATTATCGAAGGGTCACATCAAGAGCATATTAGGACAAACATGTCTTTTCAAGTGTTTCAGATAATACCTTTATCAAAGAAAATGTCGGTGAGATTTGGTCAGAAAAGTTCATATGTTAGAGTTGGCTGACCGTCTAACCAACCGATGGTTAGGATGGCTATCCGATGAGTCGGATAGTAGCTCTTGATCCACATCGATCGATTCACTTCGGTTAATCTTTGATTATCAAACTAATTAAGTTTATACCAAATCTTTTACAAGTAAAACAACTAGGATTTCAAACATTTATTGTTTTATAGGTTTCTGAAACCACTTTGGGGAATCAAATGGCCTACTGGTTCAACTGTCCTTCAAATCACCGGTGGTTTTGCTACGGAGTGTTTGAGATGGCTTATTTGAAACAACTTATATTTTTTTACAAGAACACTTATCAACTTATTATAAGTCAGAAGTGTTTGACTTATTCAAAAACTCCTTGTTACTGGTTTGACACCGATATAAATTATTTATCCAAACACTCAAAAATGCTTATTATCGATGATACACCAAAATAAATCAATAAATTGTTTATTTTGGTTTTTGTCTCCACCGGTCCCGCATATAGTCCAAAGTATCAACGAACAACGCTCATAGGACGGATATTTCTATGCTTCTTGTTGGCCCGTAATACCTACCCAATTGTACAAGGGTCACAGCACAGAAAGGCTTGCTCTATTCCTTCATAATAGTCGCTCTTCAGAAATCGCAACAACAATTTGAATCCTCACCAAAGGTAAGTTACCAGATCCCCGTTTTTTTTTTTCCAATAATTCGCAATGGACATTTCCTTGTCCCGTTATCAGAACACATCAGTCGTCCAAAGTAGTTATTGGGCTTTAACGGATGTTAAATTTTACCAAGAAAGGCACTTGTTTTATGGGTCTTACTTGTTAAACAAACCAAAAAGAAGAACCCAGGTGTCTCAAATTAGTTGTTCTTTCGTAAAACAGGGATTACATCCAAAACCCAAGCCGAAGCCACTAAAAAATGGTCATGATTTAGTAAAGAAAGAAACCCATGTCGAAGATTCGTCACAGAATATAGGTTCTAGTTCAGGACTTTGTGGCCAGATCGAGAAATTGGTTCTTTGTAAAAGATACAGAGATGCTCTTGAAATGTTTGAAATTCTGGAAATTGAGTGCTATGATGATCATGTTGGCAAGAGTACTTATGATGCATTAGTGGATGCTTGTATTAGTTTGAAGTCGATCAGAGGGGTTAAAAGGGTGTTTAGTTATATGATTAATAGTGGGTTTGAGCCGGATTTGTATTTGAGGAACAGGATGCTGTTGATGCATGTCAAATGTGGGATGATGATTGATGCCCGGATGTTGTTTGAGGAAATGCCTGAGAGGAATTTAGTTTCATGGAACACAATTATGGCAGGGCTTGTGGATTCCAGAGAATATGTGGATGCATTTCGGTTGTTCCTAATTATGTGGGAGGAACAATCTGAGGCTAGTTCACGTACTTTTGCCACAATGATGCGTGCATCTGCAGGACTTGAAATGATTTCTCCAGGACAGCAATTGCATGCCTGTGCTATAAAAATGGATGTTGATCAAGATATCTTTGTATCGTGTGCACTAATTGACATGTATAGCAAGTGCGGAAGCATCGAGGACGCCCAATGCGTTTTTGATGTGATGCCTCAGAAAACAACTGTGGGTTGGAATACGATCATTGCAGGTTATGCCTTTCATGGATATAGTGAGGAGGCTTTGGATCTTTATTATGAGATGCAAGATTCTGGTGTTAAAATGGATCACTTCACTTTCTCTATGATAGTAAGAGTGTGTACAAGATTAGGTTCATTAGAGCATGCCAAACAAGCACATGCTGGGCTTGTTCGTAATGGTTTTGGGCTAGACATAGTCGCTAACACTGCACTTGTCGACTTCTACAGTAAATGGGGAAGAATTGAAGATGCACGCAATCTATTTGAGAAAATGCCTCATAAGAATGTCATATCATGGAATGCCTTAATTGCTGGTTATGGTAATCACGGTCAGGGAATTGAAGCCTTGGAGTTATTCAATCGGATGATTAGTGAAAATATGACCCCAAATCATGTTACTTTTCTTGCTGTTCTATCAGCTTGTAGCTATTCTGGATTATCAGATCAAGGGTGGGAGATATTTGAAACGATGGGCACAGACTTCAAAGTAAAACCTCGGGCCATGCATTATGCATGCATGATTGAGTTATTAGGCCATGAAGGGCTCTTGGATGAAGCATTTGCTTTGATCAGAGATGCACCCTTTAAGCCTACTGTTAATATGTGGGCTGCTTTGCTGACAGCTTGTCGAGTCCACAAAAATTTGGAGCTTGGGAAGTTTGCAGCTGAGAAAATCTATGGCATGGAGCCGGAAAAGCTTAGTAACTATGTTGTTCTTTTAAACATATACAATAGTTGCGGAAAGCGTGCTGAAGCTGCTTCTGTTTTCCAGACTCTAAAAAAGAAAGGTTTGAGGATGTTGCCTGCATGTACCTGGATAGATGTCAAGAAACAACAACATATGTTTCTTTCAGGAGATAAATCCAAATCCTATGTTCAGATTCTTAGGAATTTGAAGAAATTAATATTAGAAATCGCGGAATATGGGTATGTTCCAAAGAAAAACTCTTTGCTTCCTGATGTTGATGAAAGGGAAGAACAGATGTCACTGTATCACAGTGAGAAACTTGCGGTTTCTTTTGGGTTGCTCAACACAGCACATTCAATGCCGTTGCATCTTGTGCAGAGCCACCGGATTTGTGATGACTGCCATCTGGCAGTAAAGTTGATAGCTAAGGTGACAGGACGGGTGATTGTTGTGAGAGATGCTAGCAGATTCCATCGCTTCGCAGATGGGAAATGTTCTTGTGGTGATTATTGGTGAAGGAGATCGACAAGTTTTTTGCAAGCTGGAAGTCCTCAAGAACATAACATTGTATCTGATTCTTGATCTCTTTCCTTCAGAAATAACCTTAAATTATAATTATATGTGTTCTCGCTTGACATGTTTTTTACAAGTCCTTGGTTATAGTTGAATTAGACATTATTTGGTTAGTCACTTTTATTTTTCAATTTATTGTGAATGACATAAATTTTCAAGCAACTCTTGTTTCTTTGCTCCTGCGGGCTTTGTAGGCGGTGGATTGACTAGAATATAACGAGTAATGGAATAAAGGAATATATTGGGAATAGATAGGCACTGTCTCGGAGAGAGGCTCGGTGTTCGAAGTGCCTTTTGGTCGAAGTAGTTGAATAGGAGGATTACGATGACTATAGCTCTTAGCTAAATCATATGTTGAAATTCTTATATCAATATTTTGTTGTATGTGGTATACCAACAACAGCAAGAATCATTTAAACTCCTTCAAATCATAACAAAATTCTGCTTAATCCATCCTGGATACAATATGCCTTGGAACAGGTCTGTGGATCCGGTGGTTGTTATCTAGTTAAAGGTATTTCGAACTTTGATACATTGAGATTTACTTCATAAGCCGGGGGCCTTCATGTTCATGGAAACAACCGCTCTAATCTTTGGGGTAGAGGTTAAGTCTGCTTACGTCATACCCCCAACCACATCCCATCATTGGGTGCGGGATATATCAGACTCATTTGTTTTCGATGCGTTGAGATCCCTGTGGTTCAGTTTGTAATTTTCAATGGGTTACAAATGGGCTTCTGCAAATTGAAAACTTGATTCTCAAACCCTATTATGACTCAGCTTCAGGGTAATTCAAGGCCTAAATCAAGAGATATGAATTGAAAACTTCAATGGGCAAAATAACTTCCTTTTGGCGAAAAATTGGATCATTGTGGCTCATGCAACAAGAATCAGAGAAGTTGAGAGGTGAGATAGCCTTAAATTGTGGTGCAAAGTTACGCCTAGATTTTTTTTATAGAAATTGTTGGTACATCATGTTTTGTACTACTACTGAACTTGAATCTGCTTATCAATTAAGTTATCATTTCATTCTTATATAGTTGTGTTTTGCATGCAACTCTTTGTGAGACATTGCAAAAAGCATGAAGAATTTGCTCCTGAATTTCTACCGTTTTGCTGGAGAAAAATCCTGAGGGTCATGGAAACCTTATTGCACACAGTTTTTGTGTCCACTAAAAGCTGGGGATCATTTGTTACATGATAAATACTCCCTGCATCCCCAAACAGTAACTTTTGAGTGTTAAATGAGTTGAATTTATTGTTAAAATTGCCATTGGTTGAAGCAAAAGAAATGGATAACCACATTAAATTACTTGAAATACATTAAAAAAACAACATTTTGGAATTACAAAAATAAACTTGTCCTGGGCTCTTGATTAATGTCTCGTTAATCTGTTATGAGTTTGTGATTAGTGGCTATAAATAGAAACCAAGTCTTGGCTTAGAGTAACAACTGTTTGATAAAATGAGAACAACAAATGAACTGTTCACGCTGTTCTTGTTGGTGTCAAGTTCTTTTGTTTTTAGGGTTTGTTATGCTTCATCTTCCGCTCATCCTGAAGGAACTGATCCTGACCATCTCCAGGCTCCCACCAATGAACACCCACTTGCCAAGATAGCGATTCACAATGCTGTTAATGCTCTTGAGGAATCATCTTGCATTATCGTTAACCCTTTACTTCTGGGGGATAAGGTAAAACTGGTCTTACTTTCTGTTTACCAGCCACTTTAACTTGTTGATGAACATTTTGATTATTTCCCTAGTAACTTTTTAGTAGTTTTACTTGTCTATGGGTAAAATGTATATTAATCTCAGCTCCTAGGGTCAGGTTTAAGGGAAAACCACAAAAAACTGAAAAACTGAGGAACACCCTAGTAGTAGTTCATCTGGACGGTATGCACATGTGCATACAAGTAATTTGTAAGCCGTTTGTCTGATATAACATGCATATGGGCATAAAAACCAAGAAACAACTTCAATTACTTGTATGCACATGTGCATACCGTCCAGATGAATGGTTACCAAGGCGTTCCTCAGTTTTCATTTTCTGGGGGGTTTCCCCAGAACCTCCCTCTAATCCCCTATACTTGATTTAGCTGCCATTCATAAACTCAGAAGAAGAATGAGTACATTTATAGTTTAGGAGAAGGCGTAATAGTCAAGTCTATAGAGGTTTTCTTAATCAATGGCTTCTTGCTCGCACTTTTATTGCTTTCCGGTACTGTGTTTGAATGTATTTGGGTCTAGTTTTATGAGTTGGTTATTCATCTAAATAACTGATTGGTGTCCGACTGTTCATATAACGATAGGGTGAGGATACTGCATGGGTCCACGTGGAGCTTCAGACAGTAAACCCAAGAAAGGATGACTGGGTTGGAGTTTTCTCGCCTGCAAAGTTCGAGTAATGTTTATCTATCAATTCCTAATGTGCCTGAAACTACTATTAACAACTGCTGATATATTTTTGCATTCTCTCCATGTTTGATTCTGAAAGTAGTCTTACCATGCATGCCTGCATTGCCTTTTAGGGTGCGTTTGGTATTGGTACACGGGACACGACAGTTAAAAACTTGTCCACACGCTTGGCACGACATTAGACTTGGACACAACGGAGTGGGCCAAAAATGCTTTTTTCTCACACTAAAATACGTGGAACAAAAATCAGGGAAATAAGAAAAGATGGGTAAATTTACCCATATTAAATTAAAACCCTAAAACCTTCCACAATTCTTTCACCTGTCCAGTCCAGTTCCGTTGATCTGCATACCAAACACATCCTTACATATTTTCCTCCACTCGTAGAAATGCTTATTCTCAACAATTGAATGAATGTTGCAGTGCATCAAATTGTTACTTTGAGTCTGGTGACTCTCCAGTCACTCCATACATATGCACAGCCCCAATAAAGGTAAGATGTTGTAAACGGGACTCTCAGATTCATATTTTCTTTCTTCTAATCGATATTGTAATATTTGCCATAAACAGTACATGTTCGTAGAGGATTCCAATCCCGCATACACAACAACAGGTCAAGCTTCATTAGTGTTCCAGATTATCAATCAGCGGGAAGACTTCTCGTTTGCACTTTTTACTGGCGGGTTGGAGAGTGTGCGTGAAGTCACTCTTTCCACTACCTTTTGTTGTCTAATACATGGATTTGTTGATGTTACAGTCCCACTGACCAATTACTATTTGGGTATCACAGCCAAAGTTGATATCTGCTTCATCTCCTATATCATTTGCAAACCCCAAAGCTCCCCTTTATCCGCGTCTTGCTCAAGGGAAGGCTTGGAATGAGGTAAATTTCCATCAATGATCCTGTAATTTCTGTATATATACTAGAAGGGTAGGTGAGATACAACTTGATTTTAATTTTTTTTTTCTATTCTGTCTCTGTTGATGTTATAATACGGTTTTATGTGGTTTTGAGAAAACGATAATGTTTTTATTTTTGAATAAAATATATCGATATTAGTATCAAAATAACTATTTAAAAGTTCTTGTTTGTTTGTGTAATTTCTTTAATTCAATGATTTGATTTAATAATATAAATTTTTATATAGATAATAATTAAGTATTCTGTTAGAACACAATGATTATCCTAAATTCCTAATTATATTTTAGATTTTTTATATTTAAAATGAAATGTTTATCCTGTATTTGATTATGTTTATCTGCAGTTGGTTACACGAATTCAAGCATGGAACTTTAATAAGTTGTACTTATGCACAATTTATTTGTGATCTTGAATTTTAAGTAATATGCATCACTTGTATAAAAAATGGTTGTTAAGAGTTTTTGTCAAATGTTTTGTAATATAGAATAGATAGGTTCAAACAAGAAGGCTAAATATCGTGAGAAGGTAAGAAAAGGAAGGTTAATATGTGAATCATTGAAAATATCCATTTGAAGATGTATCTGGGAACAGTGAATAATTTGTAACGTCTATTCACATATGCATCTTCAAATAGATTTTCTCGAATTTTTTCAATGATTCATATATGAACCTTCCATTAACCTTCGGTTCTTACCTTCTCATGATATTTAATTGTCTTGATTGAATCGATCCCTGTATATAGGGTTCGGGTTCAAACATGAACAGGGTAAAAAAAAACACAATACCGCCTATGTCACATGGTTCCAGTGTAAAATCACATGTGATTATGAAACATGGTCAACGCAAGGGTATTGGCCCACGACCTAGATTGCAGCCAACATCGCCGTGATCACATGTGATTTCAGTGTAAAATCACATGTGATTTTGGTGTTCTCGTGTTTTATTATTTGAACCTTGTTCTCGTTTGAACCTCCCTCTCTCTTTATATATATATGGAAAGGACTCATGCACACTCTTCACTTTTGGTGAGGTTTTGAACCCTTGACCTCCTTGGAGGCTAGGCTCTTCCTGTAACCCATGTACCGCTGGACCACAGACCTTTTGATCAATTAAATTTTTCTACAACCAGCCTCATCAGACTCGTGAGCAATTTCGATTTGAAAGTAATCATACTTTCAGAATCGTATAGCTTGGTTGTGTATTCATGTATCCATCTAATGTCGACAGTGGATTGTACTTTGTTGTGTTAATCTTCTAATATGTTTCTTCTTGTGTTTTAAATGGTTACATCATCGGTTATATTTGGTGCTTGTTCAGATGACGATAACATGGACAAGTGGCTACAGCATTGATGAAGCCACTCCATTTGTTGAGTGGGGTTGGAAGGACGGCCAAAGCACATATCTCTCTCCGGCAGGAACATTGACATTTTCTCGTAGCAGCATGTGTGGTAAGATTTCACGGTGTAATACGTCTTTATGCACCATTCTTCTTTTAAACGACATATAATCCTTCCCTTCTACTCCCTCCATCTCAAAATAAGTGTCCACATTTCCATTTAGTTTGTTTGTCCATTTTCAAAAGTAAGTTCATACTTTTCAATTCTACCCTTAATTATGAGACGGAGAAATTCACTACTCCTTCTATTGTTACGGGTATAATTGTCATTTAGTTAATTAAAAAGTGCAATAATACAGATTTCTAAAACTATGTGCTTTTTTCGTTGTGGATGGGACGGAGGGATCAAGATAAGTTACTTGAGCTGATAGGAACTTTAATTCCCCTGCAGGTGCACCTGCACGTACTGTTGGATGGCGTGATCCTGGTTTTATACACACTAGTTTCTTAAAGGATTTGTGGCCTAACACCATGTATGTTTTGCCCTCTTATCATTTTAATTAATAACGTTGAGAAGCATCGATGCTATTTTTCTCATTCTCCATGTTATTTTCTGAACGGGATCTGGTTTTGCGACAATGATTTTCCAGGTACGTTTACAGGATGGGCCATAGGTTGTCCAACGGCTCTATTATTTGGAGCAGAATGCATTCTTTCAAATCATCTCCTTATCCTGGACAAGACTCGTTGCAACGTGTTATTATATTTGGAGACATGGGGAAGGTAGTGGTTCCTTGGTGTTGAGCTCTATGGCCTTTTGCTCATTAGATGGCCATGACTTTTTAACGATAACTACGAGTTTCTAAATTTGTCGCTATCTTCAGGGTGAACGCGATGGTTCAAATGATTATGCTAATTACCAGCCCGGATCACTCATGACTGCTGACCGACTATTGAGTGACCTTGATAACTTTGATATAGTATTCCATATCGGTAATCTAGCATATGCAAAAGGATATATCTCGCAGTGGGACCACTTTACAGCACAAATTGAACCGATTGCTTCAAAAAAACCTTATATGGTTGCAAGGTTTGGATTTTAAGAATCGACATCATCTTAGTTATAGATGAAATAATATACTGACAGCTTACTTTTAATCCTGCAGTGGCAACAATGAACGAGATTTTCCTAATTCGGGATCCTTCTATTTGACTTCTGATTCAGGCGGGGAGTGTGGTGTGCCCGCTGAGACCATGTTTTACGTTCCTGCGAAAAACAGAGCTAAGTTTTGGTAAATTGATTGATTCTTCTTGATGACTTCATATTTATAAGCATACAAAGAAGAAACATCGCATAAAGCAGTGTTTGCTAATGCTTTTTCTAGTCTCTTTTGGGACATCCAATAATATTGAAACCATAAAGAGGCTAATTAACCACAAGGATGGTGCCTGATTGGTTTGAGCTTGGCTCCAAAGGTCAAAAATACCAGGAGGTCCCAGGTTCAAATCCAAGGAGGAATAAAAATCCCCTTGTGTCCATGGAGGTTCAAATGCGGTGACTCCGGGACATCTGCAAAGCAGGTGGTTGCCCTGGGATTAGTCGGCTCGCATAGCGGGTTGGATATCCAGGTTAATCAAAAATAAAAATAAAGAGGCTAATTTATTTTAAATAAATTCTCCCACTGGAAGTTCACTAGAAGGGTTATTTAGCTAAATGACCCCCTGACAAATGTTTTTTAAATCCATGACCATTTGACAGGTTTTTAGGCATTCTTGTGTATGGAAGTGACATTCTTTTGTTAAGCAGTGACATTCTCGAAGGGTCATTTAGGTATATAACCTTAAATGAGATTTTAATTAAATCCATGACCTCGTGGCCTATTAATGAAAAAATAGCTTCACTCATCAGAAGGTTATGGACTTAAATTACAATCTCATTTAAGATTATATACCAAAATATGCCCATTCTTAAACGTGTCAGAAGGTCATATGTTTAAAGAAAAATCCGATAAAATGTCATTTAATCAAAGGACCCTAACTAGAATGTTGATTAGAAAAACAGATCAAGGGCAAAAATAGGCCTTCAGGGTAGAGCTGTTCATGGACGGGACGACCCATTAGACCTGGGCCATCTGGCCCACTAGAAATACGGGCTTGGACAACCATTATCGAGAAAATGGACGGACCCGGGTTTGTTCGTTAAAATTAACGGGCAGGCATGGGCAATGTAAAAATAAATATGGACAAGCCCGTCCAGCCCGTTTATATTTGATAATTAATATTTCTTTACCATTAACTAAAATTATATTAATATATTTTAAAATTAAATTATTAAAGTTATAAGATGGGACTCTTTGGCTAAAGAATTATGGTGGTCCTTGATCAAAACTTGGGATGTTTGAACTTGACAGTAGCATGATTGAGCCATGGAAATATGAATATTTAAAAAATAGGAATGCATTATTGATTTTATGGAAGGCTGAATTTTGTTTTTCATTTCTTACTCCACTTGTTGAGATCCATGTGTCATTTTAGTTGCTTAAATTTTTTAATTGCAACCATGTTTTTCCTTTACTTTATGGTTCCACATTTGTCAATTAATTGCTAGTGATCAAGTTTATAGATTTATAAGAGTTACGCTTTTTAGGCTCATTAGCCCGTGGGCAAGCCCGACCCGTTAGTTGTCAAGCCCGAAAAAAGGGCTTGAGTTTATAATATTAGGCCCGTTGGACAAAAAAAATAAGTTAGGTCTGACCCGGACCCAGCCTAGACCCGCAAATGATCACCTCTACTTCAGGGGTATCTATCTTTTATGTCAAATCTTGATAATTTATTTGTTATTTGCAAAAAAACTAAATAATAAAGATGAAATCAGAAAGGGTAGCATGAAGATCAATTTAGGAAAGAAGCGAAGGTTTTTTCCGTTTGAACCATTTTTTTTTAATTAACCTGGATATCCAACCCACTATGTGAGCCGACTAATCCCAGGGTGACCACCTGCTTTGCGAGTGACCCGGAGTCACCGCATTTGAACCTCCGTGGCCACAAGGGGATTTTTATTCCTCCTTGGATTCGAACCTGGGACCTCCAGGCACTTTTGACCTTTAGAGCCCAAGCTCAAACCAATCGAGCACCACCCTTGTGGTTAATTTGAACCATTCTTAGTGCTTCTTTTCTTGTAAATTCATCATCGAAGTTACATCTCAACTCATACTTGTCTTCACAGGTACTCAACAGATTATGGCATGTTTCATTTCTGTATAGCAGATTCAGAGCATGATTGGAGGGAAGGTTCGGAACAGTATGCATGGATAGAGAAATGCTTTGCATCAGTTGACAGGCAAAAACAGCCGTGGCTGATCTTTGCTGCTAACCGTGTCCTTGGCTATTCTTCTAGCAATCGGTATGCCAAGGAGGGTTCATTTGAAGAACCCATGGGAAGAGAACACTTGCAGAAGCTGTGGCAGAAATACAAGGTGGATATCGCATTTTACGGACATGTACATGGGTATGAGAGAACGTGTCGTATATACCAGGTGCTACTCTTATTTTTCTGTATAGATAAATACACGTAAGGGTTCTAATATGAGTCGTTTGGGTAAATGACCTTAAATGAGTTTTTAATTAAATTCATGACCTTCTGGCTATGTAAGAAAATTTTTGTTTATACTCGTGAAAAGGTGATGGATTCAATTAAAATCTCATTTAAGGTTATATAGCTAGAAATCTCGTTCTAATATAGCTCACTATCTAACTTGACAGTTTTTCAGTTATAACCTGTGAACCCCTTAAGTACTCTAAAAGATGATAGTTCATTTGCAAACTTGATTTCCGTTGCGAATCAGCTGACAAACAGGAGTACGACATGTGTTCCCGTTTGTCCCCATTCATCATAAATAATGAACGTGAATTTTTTACAACATTCATGATGAATATCTCATGAATGTGTGGGACACATGGCATGCTCTCGTTTGTCCCTTGGTTCACAACGGAAGTTAGGTTTGCAACTGAACCCGCCCCACTCTAAAATGCTTCTTTAATTTGTATTTACTTTTACATCCCACCCTGAGACTATGGGTTCGTTTGGTTTGGTTTGGTTTGGTTTAATTTAATTTGTGTTTACTTAAACATGGGAGTAATGAGTCGTATCAATTGTCTTTGGCTCATATTGAGTTGTTAGAACATCTTCAACAGATTCTTTAAAATGGAGAAAGTAAGAGAGGATAAAAAAATCCTCCAAATTTGTAGAACTCCTAAGAATTAAATGTTGAAGAGAGAGAAATGGTTTTTTTTTTGTTTTTTTTATTAACCTGGATATCCAACCCGCTATGTGAGCTGACTAATCCCAGGGCGACCACCTGCTTTGCAAATAGCCCGGAGTCACCGCATTTGAACCTCCATGGCCACAAGGAGATTTTTGAACTTGGGACCTCCAGGTACTTTTGACCTTTGGAGCCAAGTTCAAACCAATCAGGCACCACCCGTGTGGTTGGTTTTTTTATTGTTAACACCAAAGAAGTTGGATGTATTTATTTGAAAATTTGTTGGGATATTTAATTACTGAATATTTTAATAGTAGAATTAATGACAAATCTCCAAAAATGAAGAAACTGTTGGAGTTGAATGCAATTTATTTGCTTATCCATTTTGGAGAAATTATAGAGAATCTGTTGGAGATACTGTTAATCTCTTACTACATCTGTGTAACATACGCTTTATTCCGTTGGTCGTGGTGTAGAATCAATGTGTCGACAAGGAAAGATTCAACTATTCTGGTACCGTAAGTGGGACAATTCACGTTGTTGTTGGTGGAGGCGGGAGCACGTTGTCGGACTTTAGCGAGATTAATACGGATTGGAGTCTCTATAAAGATCACGACTGGGGGTTTGTGAAACTAACGGCGTTTAACCACTCTTCGCTGCTGTTGGAGTACAAGAAGAGTAGAGATGGAGGGGTGTATGATAGCTTCACAATCTCAAGGGACTACAAAGATGTTTTGGCATGTGTACATGATGGTTGTGGTACTTCCACTGTGGCAACCTGAACCTATGTTATACAGGCCTTTGCCACTTTAAGCTTATATGCACAACAATAAAAACCATATGCTGTCACACATCTTAAAAGGGTTGATGGCACAGATTCTTGTAATGACTGTTTATTTATATGGATCGTGTCGAACTTGAACTAATATATGCCAACGCTTCTCATTTTCCGGATTCTGTGAAGGATCTAAGGGGTTGTTTGTTTACCTCCTAATAGTTTCATTAAGAGGCAACATTTGAATCGCTAAGAGGTGAATCTTGTTTGGCAAAAAAAAAGTATGCATTTTAATGGTTCTAAAACCCTCTGAATGATTTTGTATCTTGGACGTCCTTTGACCATTAAGTACTACCAAACAATTATATCTCATTTTGCACTATATTACAAGGGTCTCTTAATCATTTTGCACCAAACCATTCAGCCCCTAACTATATTTCGGTATCCCTTCTTAACTGGCTCTGACCCTTGGCCTCTATGCAAACGGACCAAGCTGGATTGGACGGGTGAGAGTGGGGTGGGTAAGGTGGGTGTGTAGCACCCCCATTTCAAAAGAGGGGGGGTACTTAAAACATAATGTAACAGGTATATAAAACCTCCAAAATAAAGTCTCCGATAGAATTGAAACTCCAACAAAATGATTTCAGATGTCTCCCAATAATTCAACTAAAACCAAACATGCTCTTGAAAGAAAACGTTGGTCTAAATAACAAATGAAAGAAATCGAATACTAGCTGAAATATCAATAAATCTCTTATATCCTTTTGATGTCGAGAACCTGATCTACTCTCCTTCTTGAAGTCTTAGCCACCCCCTTCAATTACCTGCTGTGGGGAAGGAAAAGAAAACACGACTGAGCCAAACGCCCGGTGTAAGGATAAAGAAGGTAATGGAAACATGTAAAAACAAATCTCAAGATATCGAACAATATAGCTGCAAATCTTAAAGAAACCAACAAATAACATAACAACGAAAACATAAGAAGGGACATATCAAGCTCGAATAGCGTATACACTTGCTAAATGTGAGATGTGGCGTTGGACACTAGACCGACATCCACCTTACAAACAAATCACATGTGCTAGGGCTGACTCATACGCCTCCTAAATCTAATATCCATCACACCAAAACAGCTCAAGAGCACAAAAGAGAAGACGTCGTAGATTCAAGGCAAACATCACAGAGAGTTAGATGCCAATTTCTTTGTTCTTCAACGCAGTCTATGAATTATAATAGAGTCGGAGCTGAACACATTATGTATCCTTATTTTTACACGGCACACTTGTTTGGTTGGAAACCGGTTGTTGGTTCTTGTTAACAAGGTGATACCTAATTGGTTTAATTATCTTTACTTTCTGGTGATTATTAAATCATTTTTTTTAATAAGCCAAGAGGTTATAGATGTGATTTTCATCAATATATCCTTTACGATGAAAAATCAGGTAGTTTTGTAATTTTAATAATTTTTTAAAAATGATTAAGAGGCTGTTTACCAAACGCTTACCTGGAATCCTGGATAAGCGATTGTCAAGTCATATTACTTTACCGGACAAATATGACAACCATCAAGATTCTTACTCGGTATCAGCAAAGCAAAGGAAACAACTAAAAACGATAACTGAGGTATCTAAGGGGGTGTTTGGGAAAGCTTATTTAAGGTGCTTATCAACTTATTTCAGTCCACAACCGCCGATAAGTTATTTTGAGTGTTTGGATGTGAAAAAAAAAAAAACTGCTTATACCGGTGCCAAACCGGTAATAAGTTGTTTTTGATAAGTTACTCCCTCTTGACTTATTTGACATATTACCCTTTTAACCCTCTCATCGCATCCGTCTCTCCCCTCTCATCGCCGGCAAGTCCTCTGGTTTCTCATCGCCGGCTTCCTGCTTCTTCCTTCGCTTTGCATTTTGGTATAGGGTAGAAGATATACCTGATTCTTCCTTCGCTTTGCATTTTGCTTCCTGCTTCTTCCTTCGCTTCCTGCTTCTTCCTTCTTCCTGCTTCTTCCTTCGCTTCACCAACTTCCAACGATTCTAGGGTTTCAAATATGAACCCTTTTTCTTCAACTCATATACCTGATGCTTTACCTGCGTATCAACTGATATAGGGTAGAAGATAACCTAAAAATGAGCTGTCCTTTTTGGTCATTTTGCATTTTGGTACCGCTATAAGCTAATCCAAACACTTTTTACAAAACTCCAGTTTGATATCGCATAAGTTAATAAGCACTTTTACAAAAAAGTATAAGTTGTTTTAAATAAGCTTACCCAAACACCCCCTAAATGGTAGGATGTCAATAGTTATTTTCATTTTGTACCCAAAGGAATAAGAAAAACTCCGATAGGACCTTCAAAGATCACGCCGTTTCTAGGGCATTTTTCTATTGATTTGAGTGGATCAACTACAAAATCTGCAAACACTGCGTGAGTCAAATCGAGAATCTCTCTGTGTGTATTAGATTATGACGATGGAGCATTCATTATGGGGAAATTTACCTCTGTTGGTGAGAGCGAATTCGAAGGAATCGGTGGAGTACATACTCGAGACTCTATGGAGAACTCGCAAAGTTGGTCTTGATTCAACCGATCGCGATGTTATCCGTGATATGCTTCAGCTTCAGAATGATGCCGACCTCGATCCTGTAATTACCATTTTTGATTTTTCAGAAGCTAAATCCACGTAGTTTTTGCTACCGCTCATCGTAAATGTTCTTCTACGTCCGGTACTCGGTATAAGGTCCAAATCGAAATTTTGAAATGTCAAGAATTTACATGAACTGTGAACCATGAAAAATACACCGTTAATATTTTCCCATGCTGTTTATGTCTACTGTATGCACTGGCTTGAAATTGCTTATAAAATGTTTACTGTTTATCTATTCTTTTGGATGATTCAGGACTTCCAAATCATTGGACTAGGGTATGGAGGTCTTCAAAATTTGGGAATTTGAAGCCATGAGGGTACAACACGATGCAATGATGTATTAAAATAACTTAACGTGTTACGGTGTTAGGAAGACGTTGTCTTTTCTTATTAGGATGAAACTTTGATCCAGGCAGTTGGAATACTGAAATACACTACCATCTGATGCCAGTTCTCTAAATGTGTATCACAAATCACATTCCCTGTTTTCCTTTTTGTTTATCTGTCCCAATTTTGCGAATGCAGTGTATTGCAAATGACTGAAAACATTTCAGTGAACTCTAGTTGCTTTGTTCCAACAGACTCTGCGGTCTTAAATATGCTGGACTTTCAAATCTAATGTTAAGATTTATCATTCAATCAAATGTCACACTAGTGATCAGTTGGGTATATGTGGTTTCAGATCATTATCTATACTGTAATAGTGATTGAATGATCTTGTAACTGGCTGTTCCTTCAAGTATAATAATCTTGTACAAGTATTTATAATTAAATCCTAAATTAAAAAGAATATAACATCCAAGTTGTTCTTCAAAACATTTGTGATGATCTTTCCTAGAATTTTTTATACCAGGAACATGTGTTCATAACTTTTCTTTGTCGTCCATGCTAGCTACAAAATGCCATCCAGTGAGCGGCTTGATCTGATTTATAATTGCTAGTAAAGATGAACTTAAAAATTTATTGTATGCAGCTTTTGGTATGCCTTCGTATGTTGATTCGTAGATGTGTTTATGAGAACACCAATAAGGATGAAATACAAAAGCTGTTCCCAACTGAAGTCTTGCCTGAGATACAGAGATTATTGACACTTCTGCTCCAGAAGTTCCATAAAGAGTGGAGAGAAGATATATTGAAAGTTCAGGTACTGTATTGAGATATTTGGCATCTTTTACAGGATATATAAGCCTGGCATTTGATTTTGTATCTCTTTGAATGATAACCATTTGCAGGATACATTACCCAGTCTGAAGACAATGACTTGGAACATGGCAAATGAAAACCTTGAATCTGCAGATCCTGTGGCTGTCATTAGTTTGAAGGTATCTGGACTTGATAATCGAGATTTTGTGAGAGCAGAGAGGCTCCTAAGCTACTGACATACCTGCAAAATGGATAGTTGATTCTCTAAATCTATTACTGACTTTTAGCTTCAGAGCAACACAAGACCAAGTTCAGGAGATATGGATGTGAACTTCCAGTTGGCTAAAGACACACTAGAGACGATGTTGAAGTCTATGTACTCTAAAAGAGATCAACTATCCGACCCTGTAAGTCTACTTTCAGGTTTACCCTTCTCTTTCAACATGCTTTATCATTGTTTTGCATTTCAATCGGTATTATGACGCGGGATAGTAGGGTGAGGCATCAATATGACATGTATCACAGAAGAAAAATACTCCCTCCATCGCAAAATAAATGTCCGCAATGAAAATGAAAAGACACCCAGTTTTAGAAGTGTGTAATTATTATATTTTTTCTATTAACTAATGAAAATTTTACCCTTGTTAATAGAGAGAGTAATGAACTTCGCCATCTCGTAATTAGAGGTAGATTGGAAAATAGACACTCTTGAAAATGGACAATTATTTTGGGACAAACTAAAATAGAAATGTTACATTTATTTTGGGATGGTGGGAGTAAGCTTTAGCTTTAGCATCTTCCAAACTACAAAGATACATGCTTTCATTGTCATCATCTCCATATTTTTTCTTCTTTCACTCCGGTATGAATTTCTTTGTCAACCTTGTATTCTTCAACCACCTACTGCAACCAAAACTCTCTTCTTTGTTTTGGTTTGTGAAGCAAAACTCTTGGACCGATTTAGTATCAGATTGTTAGACTCAAGGTTATAGTTTGTCCAAGGAACCGTATCTAGGTCCAGCAGATTCTAAGGACAGATTTGAACTAGACCACACCCTCTATAATCTTGAATATGTTTGGTTATGATGATGGCTTTGAGGTGTCTCAGGGCATGTGTGGCGATACACTAATATATGAATTTAGAGATGGCTTGAAAGTTGAAACATTAAATGGACTTCCTTTACATCATTCCAGCTAATAGCAAATACCTACCGTTGGTCTGAGTAAAACAATACTTTATTCAACCCATGAAAATTGCATAGCTTGACTTCGCCCTTGAATACATTTTAGTAAAGACTAATAGTTGAATCATATGGACCCAAATCAATATCATAATTTAAATGTAATTATGATCATGGGTAAATAGGTGAGTTTAAGTTAGACTCTTCCAAAAGAAGAAACATTTCAATTTCCATGCTGCAATTCTCGTTAATGGAATGAGTAATTTTAAATGGTTTTACTTTTAAGCTTAATTCTGAAAGTTGGATGTTGAATTAACAATTGCTTTATCCAGGAGATGAACCACTAGAACTAGCAGATTTGACTTGAGTCAGACTAGAGATGGTGCAAAAAGTTCGGTCGAAAACAGTTTTCCATCGGGAGGTTAACCTTTATTCCGTTGAACTTTGGTTTGGTAAGCATTGTGTTGTAGATTTTCCCCTTACATCACGGCTGTAAATTCGGTTAGAACATGCAACTTTTTGTGGTTTTGCATGGTGGGATCTTGGCATCTTGCTATCTTTACATGTTGAATGCCCGACACTTGGGTGTTTGTGTTTGGTAGAAAAATCAACCATCATGGTTCATGTGACTCAAATGGAGGAACATGGGTTGGCCTAAATTCTGGTATGCTGTTTTGCTCTAAAATCGTTGTGCTATCATGTTCTGTACTACTACTGGATCTGAAGTAAGTCCTTGCTTTCATCAATTTGTTATGGTGCAGAGCCCCTAGAAAATGGAGTTATGATTATGCAAATCCAACTAAGAATCAAGTGGTACTTTTATCTTCATCCATAAGCAAAAGCAAGGTACACATTGTGAAATGCAATAAGAATTGCTCTTCTATTTTTAGGGTTGAGGGTGCAAGGACAATTGAGGTTGGACATGGGCTATGTTTGGTAAACATAAGTTTGTCTTATTTTTTGAGCT